CACCGAACGAAGGTTTACTTTCTTTCAATAATAAAATTAAATCGTACAGTAAAATGGAATTTTACTGTTTCTTACTTACTCCTTTTCTCTAGTGATTCTTTTTTTATAGATGTGGACCATAGACAGTATGATAAGCCTCTAAATACTATTATTGAACAGGAAATAATCCATGCTCTAAGTAAACTTTTTAATTCATTAGACGTTGTGGCGCTAACCCAATCCAATCTTCCCACAGATAAGAGTTCGACAGAGCAAAAAGTTGAGGCAAACCCTTTATACGGTCAACCTATCGTTTAAGCGAAGAATGTCAAATATCTCCGAATCACTTTCGACTCCACAACTCGCATTTAGTTCCGATATTAGAAATGTTGAAAGCATTCCCCGCATTCGTTTCATAATTAAAACCAACTCGATGAGCTCCAAAGGCTGAGGGCGGCTGTTATTAACAAAAATAAAACAAATTTTACTTTTATAACAAACTTTGTATATTTTACAAACAACAACAATAACATTGACGAATGTTTTAAACTAGATTCAATTTGATGTACGGAACTTGTATAATTAATTAATCTTTGTATATGTTTAACACACAATTGCGCGTAAACTATTAATGATTTTATTTTATAGAAGTACACACTAAAACATTATACTGCCATTTTATTCTCATAATAATAACGATAATTTTCATTATAAATTCCATTAAAAAGCTTATTCGTTATTCTTAAATCCACTATATATTTCAAATATTAATCAATGTGTCTTTGTATTTACAAACTCTGATAATTCGTCAAATGTTCTGTAGTGAAAAATTTTAGATACAAATGTCCACGCACAGTTATTGAGATAGAATGTATACGTCAGCTTCATTTTATCTTAATTTTAAATTTATTATTTATTCTATTTATATTATGTTTAATTTTCGTACGAACTAAAAATTAGCCAAGTCATGCTGAGTTAGTATAACGGAGTTGACATAATCAGTTTCTAGTTTTTGTTACATTTTATTTTTTGCAACTGTAAATACATTCTTCATTCATTTATTTATGAACGTTTTAGAAAAAAGTTATGACATACGATTTCAAAACAGCACCGATATTGTCACATTGAAATATTATAATTTTTATCGCAACAACGCATTTCTTTAGAAATACGTCTCTCAGTGATTTTCCCAAAAAGTTTTCAAAGTTAACTCGTTGCAACAATGAAATATATAATACAATGCTATAAATATAAATTTCGTAGTATTCTTATATTAAATGCAATATGACCTTCATTTATGATTGTCAGGAATTCTGACAAGAGCAATGTTAGTTTTATATCAGTCTAAATAATGATTAATAAAACGTCATCAGAAAGTGTTTGGCAACATTTTAATACTAAAATTTATCCTTACACTTATCAAAGCTTAATAAACTTTACAGTTCTCCCATATTTAATATGATTGCGTTGTAAATCAAGTCTTTACCTTGCAAAGGGCCATATATTTATATTAAAATTTTGTTTTCTAGGCAGAATTACTTTGCTTGGAAATTTGAACAACACTTGTCATTCACGGATAAAAAAACCCCGATTGAAATTAATTACTAGACCTTAATGTGTATACTACATATCTGGAATCGAGTATAATACTTAATTAGTAACGTTTTTAATCTACAACATCAAGTACAAATAGAATTGCCAATACGGCTTACGTAAATTTATTATTATGACGTAAATTTAACAGTCCTTAATAAGATATGGTCCTTACATAGTTTTTTTTTTCAGTTTCAAAATAAAATGTTTGAAATATGTAATACAATCTCTCTTATTTTAAGTTGAAATTTATTTTCTTACTATAAACACTGAAGCATGTATATAATTAGTTTTACGCATACACTTCTACATTCTCTGACTTCTTAAAATATTCAATATGTATGCAAATATTCTATAAACACAAAATACACACAAAAAACCGTATGCATGTATATTGGCAAATGTAAAGCAAATTTAACTGAAATTAAAAATATTTTAAACGATAGAGAAAAATCACTAATGAATGAATCAACAAGCAGAATTCTCCGGTCGCTTATAGTTTTCGAGAAAGAAATTATATTTAAAATTTGTTATTTTCGCTAAGAAAAGTGTAGTTTCAGTACACCTTCTTCAGTTTAATTTAATAAAGAAGCACTTCATTTTGTATGTACTGTAGTCCCGGGCTCTAGAATAGGACTAAGGTATTCCCTGCCTGTCGTAAAAGGCGACTAAAAGGGGACATGGATTGGCAGCAGCACGAAGTGATCTCGTGCTGCAAGAGGGCGAGGGAATCGGGGAAGGTTTATCCTTCTCCGAGGTGTGCTCACACCCCGTACCGAGGGACACCGGTGCGTTCCGTAGGAGGTCCAAACGTAAACGAGCCCCTCCAAACGTGCAGAAATTGGCCACCCAGGGGGTTTTAGTGGGTTAGAACCCCACATAACCCTGTCACAGAACGATAGGGTATCTATATAATAAAAAAAAAGACCTAAGTTCTCGACTACACTGTATATGAGCAATGTTGCCATTGTTGTGTTAATTTTTATACAACATCAAGCAATACGCACGTCATTTTACTACAAATCGCCATATGGTTTTTATCAGCAGTTACACCCAGTTTCCGAAAGCGCAATCAATTTTAATTTACGATAAATCTCTTGTCAAACGTTGTTTAACATGATCTAAGTTGCTAGAACATCTGAAAACAACATTGATTTTGATTTGCAATTAGTCACTGATTAACGGACAATCAACAGAAAATCGAGTTTCTGAAAGCGTTTTTCGGTGGTCAACGAACTGTCAAAAGTTTTATTAAGTAATCTGTCAATTTGGACGATCAATCGTTGGTTAAAAATGTATTTTATCAAAAATCTTAGTTTTTATTAGAAATAAACATAATTCCCTAAAACGTTATAAGGAAATTCATGTGTTCTATTAACTATTTATTATTTATTATTATGCGAACATATCATGCGTTTAGAGAAAATAGAAAATGCAATTCAAAAGTTAATAAATAATATGGATTCTTTCTTTTTATAATACTTACTTGTTTATTATGGATAAAAGTTCATTTTTTTCACGTTCTGTAATGTTTTTTCTTGACATTTTGCATGTATTTATATAAATTAAATTTTATTATAGCTCGGATTTTTTACGTTGGCAATCACACGGTGACAGGACTGGATAGTGACGTTAATTTAAGTTTTGTTTAAAAAGGGACAGCTATACAATAGAAAGAGTTAGTTGAAGTAAATCATTCATTTCATTCATTATCGTTGGTTATACAGTGATTAACTAATTTTTCTTGAACAAACCTTCCAGAAACCCAAGGCAGTTTAACAAGAGATTAACAGGTGATCATTTTTGACATAGTGTTATGTGATTGCTGCTTTGATTGGCCTTTCGGAAACTGGGCATTAGTTTTGCTATTTTTATATCGTCACTAATATTGTACAACTAATATACTACTTGGAAACTAGAAAGCTACAAGAACTTGCCTTTCAATCCAAAATAGAGGATATAAAAGTAGTTCTAACATTTTATCAAGTTTATTAGGTCATTTCGTATTTGGGTAAAAATTTACTTGTAGCGGTAAGAATTTAAGATTTAATATAGGTATCTAAACCAAAATCAAAGATTAATGTCTGCAAATATTTATCGTATATATATTCAAAATGAAATAAAAACAAACTTCTTACATTTTATAAAGGATATCTGGTGTGTTCTCATTAAAATACGATCAAGTTATAGGTGATTAAATTAAAAATAGAAAAAATAAACACCATGTTTTTATATATTTCAGGATAAAAACGATAGACCACAGTTTTAGTGAACTATGGGAGCATGACGTTATCTTACATGCTAATGAATTTTTATAATACAACAATGGACGTAAATCATTGTAAGCGTACCCTTTTACATTTTCCAATCTGCACCTTCAATTTTCAGACTTGCAACTATTTTTGAATTGTTACTGGTATTTAATAAATTTAGTCAAAAGTTATAATTAATTGTCATTTTACAATTTTAGGCTTTGGAGCATTTTTCATTTTGCCTTCTTATTATATTCATACCTTATTATATATTTCCTTATGAGTTTAATACATTTACCATTTTGAGGAAATACAAAAAATATCAATCCATAAATCTTTCCTGTTAGAAAACCTTTGTAGAGTTTTGTGGTGAAATCTTCAGATTATGAAGAACGCCCCTAAAGTTCTTAATTTTACTTAACATACAAAACGGACTCTAATACTTTAATGTGTGACATTCCTCGCTAATGAACAAAACAAAATCGTAAAAATCTCATTTAATTCCTTATACTTTTATACTTAATGATTGGCTATAGCTGTGGAGTTTTCTTATACTACCTTGACCTACAAAAATATTGAACCGTTAAACCTAGAATCATTTCCAATGTTCAGTCATCCGATAATAAAAGCCTAGTTTTAATATTAAAGCTTGCCAATTTGCCAAGTGACATAAATATCGGACAAAAATTGGATATATAATAAGAAAAATTATGTAAAAATTAAATAGATTGCAAAAGCATTCACGAAATAAATTACCAAAGAGCACAGGAACTGTAACCAGTTCAATATATATTAAAAAAGACAATCAGTCCACAAATAAGCCTAAACTCATTCAATCATTTTATTATCCACTTTTAAATCTGTAACTGTAATACAAAAATTATGCTTACTTTTATACGTTAACACGGACTTTAAATTACAAACCTACATACTTTAGCTTGTCTCTATTCTCTTGTTTCGATAGAATTGCGCTTAAACGACTTTCATATTAATAGCACGGAACATCCAGTGACTTATGTCCTTCAGCGTGGCGTTCGCGTATAAACGTTTCCAAAATTACAAAGCATTTAATCTGTGATAGCGTTTGAGAAACAGAATATTCTGCAATCGGGTTCCCTTATCCCGATTGATTCGTCACTCGTGAATGACAACGTCGACGTGTGTCGGCTAACGTCAGTCCTCGCAGAATGTGACCGCCGGCGCCGAGTGGTGGTCCCTCTGCGGGATGAAACACGCACACGCCGGCGGTCCAGGGGATGACAGGGCGGAGCCCGGGCCTAGAGACCCGCCACATGACAGCCTCGCCCTGTCCCTTATGTTGAGTATCGAGCGCTCCTGGCCCCACGACGTCTCGCCGTAGCTGCTGCCAACTGTACTCCGGCTGAGGCCCGGCTCTGCGAACGCGATACACTTGACCATATCTATAATGTGCTATCTATGTTGTTTTTACGTCTAGATGGATTCACGACATCGTAAGAGTCGCGGGCAACCGGTGGACGCGAATGGCAAAGTGTCGTTCGTTGTGGCGTTCTAAGTGGGGAGGCCTATGTTGAACAGCGGATGTCTTACGGCTGATGATGATGATGATTTCATTTGATTGATGGATTTAATAAGCCGAACAATCCAACTAAAGATTTGTCAAGTTTGATTGTATTCGACCCCTAACTTTAAGAGACGCCTAAATGAATTCAAAGGCTAGTCTCGTTTTCACCATCGCGTTAAGTCTTAAGCGTGACACTTAAGTGGTGGTGAAAACGAAGTTAGCACTTAAATTTCTTTAAGCATCCCTTAAAGTTAGGAATTGATGGTGCAAACGGGCATTAGTCAGTCTGACAGCATTAATTCTCATATCAAGTCATAATCAACTGCTGTTGGGTAATCAATTCTCGCTATTGGACCAAATACCAATTTAAATAATTTTATTGTTTTGTTTTTATTTATTAGCAAATATAGATAATAGATAAATAGAAAATTTAAAAAGCTTTAAACTGTAAATAATATATAGCTACAAAATTGTCTCATTTGATAAAATCAACAATTTAAGCCACGATTAAGTAGGAATTACATGACTTTACAGGTCGGTCTTCTCCTTCTTCTTCAGGGTGTGTTCGCCCACCGTTGGGCATACGCCTCTCCAATTTTATTCGATATCATAGATAGTGTTACGCTACCAATTGTAAACGGTTGAGACTCAATTACTATTATCTGCCAAATCCAATGGATACGGGCGTCTCGTGTGTAGCTTTTTAATTAAATCAATATTTACTGTGGTGGGGGTTTTCAGCATCTTCTGCTGTATCAAGTTGTTGTCAAAATGTTGTTATTGGTTGCCATGGTTATACCGTGAAGTTCGTCGCTTTGCAACCTACTTCATCATGTCGCTTTCTGGCTGTCGGTGTGCGCGTGCGCGATAATTTTACCCTCATATTTTTTTTAGAAACGCGCCAAAAGAAGTATACCTCCGAAAATAAACAAATGGATACTTACGGAATCGATAGAACGGCTCTTTCCTCCTTTCGTGGTCTTCCCCGACCAACCACCAAGTTTTCATTTCGCCTCTCCCCTAATTAAATTGTTTGTTAGCAATATTTAATGTAATTAGCGCGAATAATTCACACAACGCCACCCCAAATTACACCCACGTGAACCGTCACATAGAATCTACATCACAGTTTATTCATGTGAAATTTCAGCTGTGTTTGTTATACAATTCTTGTTTATATCGAAGGCATATGACGATTAGAATTTCAAAGAGCAATAATGATCATAAAGATACTCGAAACCTGGCTAGATATAATAGAATCTAAAAAGTTCAATGGCAGGTTCAAAAAGAAACAAATTATTGAAAAGTTGATCGACGGAGATTGGGCGTTCACCATTTCGTGAAATATAATCTACTGTTTTAAAAAAGAGGTTGAATGATTTTTCGTACTGGAAATACAGAGTATAATAAAACCCTATTCTTTGGGAAGATTAAGATTATATTACTAGTTGTTATATTCAAATAATAACTAGCCTTAAGATTTCTGCGTAGTTTCTGTGTAGTAAAGAAGTAAAAAAGTTAAGGAACATTTCCCACTGCTGGGCAAAGGCCTCCTCTCTACAGAGGTTATCAGGACATAGTCCACCACGCGGACCCACTGCGTCTTGGCGGACTTCACATATGTTCGAAAGATTTTTTTTTATTTATTTATTTTTTTTTTTTTTTTTTATTTTATTAGGTCTGCTTAACCGAATACAATCTAGCATGATAGCAAAAGAAATATACACAGAAAAAAAAAATGATTGTATTCTATACATAGCAAACACAGCATACACAATGAGACTCAATATAACATTAGGTACAAAGGTTTATCTACTGACCACTATTACATGAGTAAAAAACTATTATTTTTTTTGTATATAAAACTCAATAAAACATTATACTTAAATAATTAAATTAATGAGTAAACTATTTAATAGTTTAATGATATTAAAGGACCGAAAAAAAACCTAGACACTTTCTTTTTTATAGAGGCCAAAGAACCAGTGCAGTATTGTTTCGAAAATATGCATTATATTATATTTATATCTATAATTGTTTCTTAATAAAACATATTTAATTGGTAAGCCGGTTTAAATAAATAAATAATTATTTTTTGACTAATTACCCTAACAAGTTTTCATTGTATCGTAACACAGATTTTTTAAAAAATATGATTAACATTCAATACGAATGTTAGTCATATTTTTAAAAAAAATCTGAGTTGTGTGTGAGTACATTCCTACCTTTACGTGGACAACGCCTCTCTCCTTGAAGTGGTAGCCACCATATTTTCTCAGCATGATGTACGTGTCGTGGCTGACGTGGATTTTCTGCGGGTCGCTCATGGACTCCATGCGCGCGGCGATGTTCACCGTATCGCCAAAGAGGCAGTATCGCGGCAGTTTGTAACCCACCACGCCAGCAGAGCACGGCCCACTATGGATACCTATACGTTAAGTACACAATTATACGTTAGTATAACGATGCAATTGTTTGAGAAAATGACAAAAAGAGGGTACCTACGGAGTTTCTTTCCCCTGTTTCTTCTCCGTTAGAGGAATCTCATTAATCATTGCAAGAATAACTTAAAAAATAACTAAATCGTAAACTGTGTTTAAAGAAAGCTTTTCCTAGCAGGAATCTGTGTAAAGATAAAGAGAAAAACTGCTATGGGACAGAGAAGTTTTAATAGAAAACAAACGTAGCAAGAAAACAGTGTTTAAAGAAGGTAGTTCAACTTAAGACGAGAAAACGAAAAAGAAATGTGCGGAGGTGGAAAACTATAAATAGAGTAGAAGAAATAAATCAACATCGATAAGATAATAGAACAATAAAATCGAAAATATGGTACAAGTACCTAATAGGACTTTCTTAAGAATTTATGAGATAAATGTTATTTATCCATATATTCAACTATAACATATAATACTAAAATTCTAAGGTATAAAACTTATAGAAGCAGCAATTGGAGCGCTCATATTTGTAAGTAAAGGCCTAATAAACTTCCAAGGGTCAAATAATAAAACACATATCTAACCCCGCATTATGAAAGGATAAGACAATGAAAAGCTATATACTAGTTTAAGGGCTATCGTTAAAATCTTCTTTAAAACTAAGTGATCCAACGTTTGTTTTTGTGATCATATTTTTTTTTTAAATTGTTTTATTTGACGGAGTGATAAACCTTGGCACAAATATGTAGACAAGCTAATCACAAATATCTATTCTATATATAATCTAATTTTAAAAGCACCGACAGGATGAGATGATTAGCAGAATAAGGATATCACAATGTGGGGTAATTTTGACTTCAAATAACGTGCATTTACCAGTATAAAAATTACTCCAGTTAAATCCCTACACCGGGGTGACTTCAAAGTGGCTATTAAATTGCGTATACCTCGCCTTGATGATATGTATAAGTAAACAAAACTGCCCGACTTTAGCGTTTGAGGATAGCACGCTGTATAAAGAATCCGTTAGAATTTGTCCAAAGTGTACTTTAAATGAATAAATAAATGTTTTTTCAAAACACATTTTACATACATTTTCCAGTCCCAAACTAAGCACCGTCGTACTATTTATAACTAGATAATTGATGGACATATTTCTCTTTTGTAAATAAATGCATATAACAAATGTCAATACACCCAGACACCGGAAAAAACTATGTTCATTATACAATATCTCCAGTAGTGGGGATCGAACCCACACCGGCGCAAGAAACAGGTTCACCACCACTAGGCCAATCGGGCCAGTCGTTTCAAGTAGAGAAAGTAGATACCGATCCTTATGTTCAGCCTGGCGGATGGGTCGTGACGGAACCGTATCTGCGGCACCTCGTCGAGTAAGTGCAGCGCGAGTGACGCCACTTCCGCGGCATGCTTGGAGCTTCGCTCCGGGAGACCCCCCACAACCATGTACGCGTCACTTACGGGCTCAACCTAAGAATGGGACAGGATGCAAAGTCACGGAAGCACTGCCATTAATAATTTTTAAGACTTTTAGAAGGAATGGACGAAAAGATATTTTATATATATATATATATTATATATTTTATATATATATATTATATATTTTATATATATATATATTCGCCCCTGCGGCAATTGATCCACGTCTTCCGGACGGAATAAGGTAAACGGCTGATGGCCGAAAATCTCAACGTATTTTTTCTTCACTCTTTTTTCGCATCTTAATTAAAGCAATGCTTGCAATTGTTTGCTCTATTGTTATCCCCTTTACAGCAGAAAAACAATTTCAAATATTGTTCTACAACGATAATTCGAAAGATGTCGCCATTGTTATTTTAAATTTTAAATTGGTTCAAATACTGTAAGATGTAAATTTATTCAATAGGCGGCTCCATTATTTCTATATGAATAGGAGAGGTTAGCACTATAAAAAATACTATTTTAGTTATGACTATTTAAAAAATTATATTCGTTGGTAGGTATTTGTTATTGCACGATTACGTAAGATTAATAAGGCTGTGAGATTTTGAGTGTATGGACGGGATTTAGTAAAATAATTATCAAACAGAAGATTATTTAAATAGAAACTCAGGAAAAGATAGCAAAAATAGAATCCAAAGACAGAATAAAGCATTCGCTACGTTTGATTTGAAATTTGCCGGATTTCCAAGAAATACTTTTGAGTATTTCTTATAATTATACAACGATGGCAGTATTTTTATAAAAACGTTTGGCCGTAAGAAATTTCTTTAATAAATGAAATGTAAAACTCTACCGTGTTCCTTATCACTAATTTATATGTTTGAAAAGAAATTGATTTCTAAAAAAATCATGTAATAGTAGGTATCTAATAATAAAATATCAGTACACAGTAATAAAATTTTCATTTGTGCGTCTATTAAAATGGTATATAACATCATGACCTTACAGTTGGATACAATGGCCATAAATATTGTATAATATTCTCATGTAAGTGGCATTGTATTGTCTTTTTGGGAACAAATTTATTTAATCTAGGTTATTATAGGTTTACACATTTCACGTCGTTTTGTCAAACAATAATAATTAAAGTACGTGTATTTTTTTTTACAATGCATAACAAAACTTTAATGAAGGAGCACTTCTTCTTACCTTGTAAACGTTGTAGTAGGATATGATGGCATCGCAACACGTGTACAAATCGTTTAGCACGTCCACGACCTACGAATAAAGATTGGAAGTAAATAGATATATGAGGATGATAATGAAACAAACTCTTCTTACATTTTATTCGAAGTAAAATTTTGTGATAAGCGATGATATGTACATACACTACACTTTTCTCATTGTTGATTAATAATTAGCAGATTTTATAAAATTCTCGTAGGAGAGATAGTTTAAAGATAACTTAATGCTAATAGCATTAAGTTTAACATTTTAGCGTTCTCTTTCAGTCAAACCAAAAATAAACCCGAAAAGCAATTTTAAAAATAAAATAAAAACAAAAAGCAAAAGGTACATTTTACATCGTCATCATTTACTTTACATAAAAATGAATAGTATATCCAATAAAGCAGGGGTGAGCAACCTTTTTAATCAATGGGCCAATTTAAATTTAAAATTTTTTGGCGGGCCGCACATAATAATTATTAAACGAAACTTTATTTATAATAAATATTAGAATAAAAAATATAAAATTAAAAAAAAAGTAAAGATTTCATATACAAATTTTAATGCAAGGTTGCAAAAACAAACAAGAAAAGAACAGTAAAACGAACAAAAAATATTGCGGTTCAGTATGTACTACCATTTTATTATAATTAATTTTATAACAATATATTGAAGGGAGCAATTCGATAAAATAAATTCAATTTTAGAAATGCTTGGCGGGCCGCATAAACATGTTTAAGGGTAATGTCCGCGGGCCGTGCGTTGCTAATCCTTGCCATAAAGCATTGATTTTTTTTTTAGGCTGGACGAGCCACTGTTCTCCTTAGGGGTCTTTATAGTTCCGACGGGCATGAGGTAGCTGGGCGCTCGGGGCGCCTAGCCTGAACCTCGACGTATTATTATTACACGTTACGGTGACTAAGCTCGAGGGCTCCCGAGGGAGCCTCGGCTCGGGCCGTTACGCTTTTATTTTCACCGGTTTGGGAGGCCGCCAAGCTCTTAGGGCGCTTTGGCGGGCGCTCCATGGAGTGATCAGGCTCAAGGGTCCCCGAGGGGCCCAGACCTCGGCGCGATCGGTAGCTATTATCCGACTGGGGAAAGCATTGAATACACATATATCCCAATACCCACAAAAAACACAATATAAAACAAATTTATATATATAGTAATATAAACATATATACAGACACATTATTTATGTTTACAAAGGATAAAATTGGTGACTCTAACTATCGGCAACATTGGCATAGTGACATCGCAGCATTTTCTTATATGACACCGTACTTTTATAAGCATTAGCTCTATGTTACCAAAATAGACATGTGCACAGATTTATAATTTAATTTGTAATACATTTAATATTAAACGTAAATAGCACCAATAATAGCAAGCTTATTTTAAACGTGATTAATTAACGTTGGCCTTCTAAGTGGCTACGAATGGCTGTTTCTCTTAAAGAGTAATACCATCGAAGTCAAAATAATTGATGCCGTTAATGAAAAATAATGAACTCGATTAAAATTCTATATTAAGGTTTGAGGGAAATTGTGTTGCTGTGAGATGTCATTTTTAAGGTTCCGTACCCAAAGGGTAAAACGGACCCTATTACTAAGACTGTCTGTCTGTCTATCTGTTTGTCTGTCTGTCTGTCTGTCTGTCTGTCTGTCTGTCTGTCACCAGACTGTATCTCATGAACCGTGATAGACAGTTTAAATTTTCACAGATGATGTATTTCTGTTGCCGCTATAACAACAAATACTAAAGAACAGAATAAAAAGCATTTAAGTGGGGCTCCCGTACAACAGACATAAGTTTTTAGCAGTTTTTATGGGTAATGGTACGGAATCCGTCGTGTGCGCGTCACACTCGCACTTGGCCGGTTTTTATTATTAAATTGACAAGAGCAGTACCAATTTTTTTTTATATGGAACTGACTAGCGTTTGACTGCCATCCCACCTGATGGTAAGTGGCGATGCAGCCGTGGATGGTAAGCGCGCTAGCTCAGTAAAAGCCTATTCACTCTTGCCTTGAAGACGCCTACGTTATAATTGGATGGGAAGACCGACGCCGGCAGGTTGTTCCATTCCTTAGCCGTACGGATGATAAATGACGATGCGAATCTCTTTGTTCTTGTGCGTGGAACGTCAACAGCAAAAGGGTGGAGCCTTGCCGAACGTCTAGTTGTCCGATGATGGAAAGGGGCGGGAGGGATCAAATCGTGCAACTCCAACGCACACTCTCCAAAATGCATCCTGTAGAAAACCGAGAGGCTGGCTACTCTGCGCCTGTGCTCGAGGCTAGTGAGATTGGTGTTAACCAAATCACGGTCACCAATGAGCCTTTCCGCACGCCTCTCCATTGAGTCAAGGGCAGCCAGGTGGCATTTTGCAGCCCCAGCCCAGATAACATGAAGGTAGTAGTTTACGCATTTCGTAGGAACTGACTAAACATTGATAAAGAACATAAGCAAACTGGGAGTCCAATGCTCGAACTTCCGTCAGAATTAACTTATCAAACATTTGCTTGTTTGGTGCAGCTTTGTACACGGTAATCGGTTGCGGAAATTTCCATACGCAAGTTTCCGTATCGCAATGTAGAGAATGTAAAGAAACACATAAACAAATACATATTATAAAATAAAATCGTCGGATCTTGATGCGGTCTGCTTTTTTACTAGATAGAGTATTTCAAGAGGAAGGTTTATATGTATAATACATTGCACCCGTTTGAAGCCGGGGCGTGTCGTTAGAAATGAAATAAAACTCACCTGCATGGGAGTGCTTTTTGCGGCGAGACTTGAGAAGTCGACTATATCGCTAAAGTAAATTGTCACGCTGTCGAAGCTCTCCGCTTGGACCGGCTCTCCGCGCTTGAAGGCTTCCGCTACGGTTCTGCGTGAAATGGGGTTTGATGATAAATCAGCTATTTATAGTAGACGCCGGTAGTAGGTTGTCAAAACTGAAGCGAGTCTCACCTTGAACCGCGTGCTCGTTTCTTTTTCTCAGATTGAAAAACGCTTCACAAAGATATGTATTAACTCCATAAATCTCTTTAACCAATCGATTACTTACAAAAAGCAACGAAACAGCCTATATATGTTCCACTGCTGTTAAAAGGTCTCCTCTGTGCAGATAGGCATAGCTTACTACGCGACCCCACTGCGGATTGCCGGGCTTCACACATATGTTCGGATTATTTTCTTTTATTATTATTTCGAATATATGCGGGTTTCCTCACGATGTTTTCCTTCACTGTTTAGCACGTGATTAATCAGCACTTAAGCTAAACAACAACATTGTATGTGTCCAAGTTTAATTGGTGCCGGCATCGGTATAGGAACTCGGGTTGCTCGAGTATATTAAATTAAATGCAAGCGTCCTAACACTGACCTATCACGGCTCCTAATGCATCTGTAGAGCATTTTTTATTTTTTTTTAAACCATCGGCAGTTTAGTTTATGGCCTTATTCCCTTTGTACAAGAAATGTTTTGACTGACAGTCTTAGAAGCGTGAACCATTACTTTATTTTACCACGAATTAAAAATAAGTAAATGTATAACTTTGAAACATGTATTATAATTGCTACTTAAATTGTACCTTGGCAGTGACCTGTTTAAAAGGTCTTCGGTCCTTCGTTTCTCTTGAGTCAGCTGTTTCGTCTTCTCTTCAACCAGTGCCTCCAGATTAGATGCGTACTTCTCCATCATGGCAAGCATGTTGTCGAACGTGTTGGTCTTCCTGTTACAAAACGTCGTCTTCATAAAGTTTGCGATATATGTACATGTCTTCCCTACGCGAGCAACTCCAAAGTCCCAAGTAGAGGTTCAAATTCAAATATCTTTATTCAACATAGGAGCATTACACTCAGTTATTGATAGTCAAAATACTACCACCAGTTCGGAAAAGAAAGACACCGACCAATAAGAAGACCTATTGGAGAAGAACCGGCGTAAGAAACAGCGTTTTTTTTTCTTTTTTTTTTGACATACATTCTGTGACATGAATGTATTGAATACTGTATTATTTTCTTAAATGCACGGACTACGGTTTGGTAATATCGTATATTACCAAACGGTAATCCGTAATACTACTATTCGACATCGCCTGCGTTAAGGCGTTATCACTTTTAGAAAACTATGAACGCTACTCAGGGGTGCAATCCGCTTACTCGGATTCAACAGCCTTAAGCCGACAACTCTCCTAACAAAGTGCCCATAAATAGTCTTAGGGTCTAACAAGCCCGCGTACAACAGCTTTCTTAAGGGTTCTATGCCGGATGAAGCAACAAATACTCTTGAAGATAAAACTTTAAACAATTGAACGACATTGTCAAACACGCACTAAAAATACGCACGGTCAACAAAGATAAACTCAATACCTAGTGCTGTATTTTTACCAGTAATATCTACTATATAATGAATAATTATTTATTTTTGGCGATTGCATGTTGCTGAAAGTGATGTGCAGTCGCGATGAAAATGTCATCACTAAGCGTAATGTAAATATCATAAACCACAATACAAATTTTTTTCATCATCATCTCATATCAGCGTATTAGTGTCCATTGAGCATAGGTCTCCTCTACAGACTGCACGATCCTGGGCCGCCTGCATCCACTTCCCGCAAATTTACACACGACGACATTCCATTTTTTTTATGTTAAACGTTGCCAAGCGAGCAGGTGGTTCACCTGATGTTAAGTGAATACCACCGCCCATGGACATCTGCTGCACCCGAGGGTTTGCAGATGTGTTGACAACCTTTTGAAAATTGGGCTCCGGCTACCTCACTCACCAGACGAAACGCGAAAGTATTACACTTCCACTTTACACCTCCTCTGTGAGGTCGTGGTACTTACCCGGACGAGCGGCCCTGTGCAGCCGCTGCTCGTTGTACCCTTACCCCGTCACGACCGGCAGTGCGAATCTACCACTCGACAAGCTTTATTGACCATCGTCTTCAATTTTCGATGACTTCGATGACTCCGTGGCGCAGTCGCTGCTTCGCGTGGGGGTCCTACGATTCCCACCGTAAATCCACAGTAGTTGTTTCGGGCTGTGTCCTACCCCTACCACAGTAAAAAAAAGTCAAGTCTAAAGAATAGATATTTAAAAACATCGGCTTACATGCCGGCGTGCATGTCCTTAAGACGCAGCCAGACCAGGCGGAGGTCCGGCCGGCGGTCTGGGCGCTCGCTCCAGCACGCGTTGAGCACGGCCAGCACAGAGGGGCGCGCGACCAAGCCGCCCAGCGGCGGTCGAAACAGCACCCCGCCGATGGGGTGACGCACCCGGCCGATTATTTCTATTGAAAAGTCACCGCTTGTTTATCGCTTTTCTCTCTTCCGGCTTGAACGGCAATCGTCTGGCGGCTTGGAGTCAAGCACTGCTCAGGCGGGCACACTTAAATTCTTACATAAAATAAATAACCAGCCGTGACAGGTTCTATGATGACGTCAATGACGCCGTAGCGGGAAGAGCCGTCAGCACTTTTTTCACATGAAAGTCGTTGGATACCATACAAATTAGTTTTAAGTTCTTGTGTTGTTAAATTTAAAGCATTGTGGTTTGCACCTATAATTGAAATGGCACTCACCGAACCCGTTATTAACATATTACGCATAAATTGTCTGAATCAAGTGTTCATCATCTTGTTGGTGTAACAAAAAAAAAGAAAAAAAAATTACATTGATTTCGGGTGGTTGAGAATGCTGATTTAATAAAATACTGAATTAATTTATTTTTACAAAGAAAAATATGTAATTAAAAACGTGTGCCTTGCAAATTCCGCTTTAAATCGTTATTGTCAACTTGTCCCCATATTCACACTGTGCATGGAGATGGAATCGATATAACGTGAACAACGATAGCCATCCCCTTTCCTTCCTGCTATTATAATAAACAAGGAAATTTCGATATTACCGATATTACCGTGGACTTTGTTTGCTGTTAAAACAGTTTTGCTTCTATTGTTCATGGTAAATAAAGCATGTTTTTCGTAATAAAAAAATCTTTTGCGTTATAATCATGGATTGCTTATATATATATATATATACGTAATTCTTCTCTACGTGTGAATATCACTGAACTCCTCCTAAAGAGCTGGACCGATTTTAATGAAATTTTGTGTGTTTTCAGGTCAAAAAAGTTAGAAATTTTCGAATTTAAGACGTGTGTACGAGTACAGGACGACGTCTGTCCGGTCCGCTAATTTATACATTTTTAAGGGTTATTTCGATAGATAATACATAATAAGCGACATCTTACCAGCGTTCGTTAAATTTGTGTCACCCCAAGGCCCGTTCCTGCCTAAGATCTCGTAGAGGATGATCCCGAAGGAATAAACGTCCCCCTTTTGCGAACCCCACGGGGGTGGGTTGCAATCGCGCAGCAGCTCTGGCGCCCTCCACAGCATTCGCCTCTCCATACGTATAGGATCTTCTGTTTCCATGCATCCGCCTATTTAGAATAATTAATAATAAATACGTAAGAACTCCTTAATGTGGTAGTGTCACAGCTTGTTTGTTGGATTGGAAAGGTATTTTTACATATGCTATTAGTTACATGTATAGCTTGAGGTACACGGAGGATTATGTATTACAATTATTAGATATTATAATGTGTTAGTGTGTAATGTTTTACTATTGGTCTCAATTATTTCGACACATAATAGACACTTCTGTTGCTAGATGACTAAATTCGTCCATTTATAATACACTTATGACCTTCCAATTATTTTTGCCTTAGTTAAAGTATATATTTTACATAAGTACATAAGGTTAATGCAGGTCAAGGTAATACAAGTAAAATTTATGGCAATATCCATAAATATCAAATAACAAGTAAAAAGTACTTTTTTCTAATTTATTAAACATCATAAATCACTTATAAGTCCAATTCCAATTTGAGCCTCACAATTTCTGTATATTTTGTTTGAAGAAGTAATATTTAGTGATGTCAAATAAAGAGATTTTCTTTCTTTCAAATAATAATCTCATACGTGTGCAGTAAATGATGGGCCTGTTTTTGTGATAAATGGTGTTCAATTTTATTCCAATAATAACATTCACAGGTGAAACTTGTACTCGTTTACACATTACATGCTTCACTACATGGTATAAAACAAAGTCGTCCCGTTGTTTGTCTGTCCCTATTTATGCTTAGATCTTTTTTACTCAGCAACGGATCTTGATGCGGTTTCTTTTACCAGATTTATAAGTATAATACATTGCACCCGTGCGAAGCTGGGTCGGGTCGCTAGTATTTACAAAAAAAAAAACACAAGAGAACACTCACTTTTCAACGTATGCAGTCCGTAATCTGTAATCTGCAGCACCCAGTGGCTGTCGACCAGGCAATTGCTCGAAGTGAGATTCCCATGGGACACCAGCGGCGAGTCGTGAAGATACGTCAATCCGCGCAGTAGATCCGCGACGAGTTTCGCCACGAACATGTCGTCTAGCAGCAGGTCCCTGTCCGCGAGCACCCGCGCCAAAGATCCGCGCGAACAATACGCGGTCACGACACACGCGGATCCGCTCTCCACGCATACGCCGACGAAAGCGGTCAGGTTCTCATGACGCAGCTCGCGGATCTACGAAAGTTATGTAGGAATTAGGAAACTAATTATTTACATGTAAGTTACATAGGAACGTTTACGTTTCCTAACGTATTATTTAAATCCTAAACTGGTTAGACCTATAGCCTATTGGATGGAGGAGGAATTTGTGGAGTTATTTGTTTAGGTCGGCAACACCAGGTGTGCAAAGATAACTTACCATAAAAACCCTGTTATAACAAAACGGTACACTAAAATTTTGGTTTATCACTTAATTTATAATAAAAAAAAAATATTCGAAGATATGTGAAGTGTGCCAATCCGCAGTGAGGTCGCGTGTACTATGCCCTTAACACTCTTTGTATTTGTATAGGCTGTTACTTTGGTTGACTTTTACTTAATTATTTAACTTCTTCCTCAAAAACTTTTAAGGTTCAATGAAATTCATGTCCATATGATTATGTCTACTGTATCGTTGATAATCCATGTTGTATTGACATTATCCACATCCTCTTTCAGTCATGTGGCGATCTTTCATGAACCGTCCACACACTCAATTGAATTACAAAATCTATCATTGACATCACATCGCTCTTTTTATCATTTCCTTGAAAAAATCTAAGTAATTATTGCAAATCTCTTCTGAGATAGTCTCAACACAAAGCAACACAACAAGTATTTGACTTATTTTGCTTCATATTTCTCTATTGTTTTTGAATAATTTCATGGAGTTTATATTTTATTGTGAATCATTTCTCATATATTTTTAATCATTTCATAGGGTTTCGTATAGGTAAAAATTAAATAGGGTTACATTAAATAGGGTTTAACCAAATAACGTTCCTAATATTTTCACAACCAATGCAAACAATTTTAATTGGATAAATAATTGTTGTGCTAATTACCTAGTGGTCGGTGATCAAGAGAATCCTTTGATGTTAATTAATTAAAACGTTAATATTTTAGTATTGTTTCGGATTTATTTCAGAGCTGTATGTAGCTTGTTTTTTTATGTGAAAAGTTGCCAAGCGAGCAGACGGTTCACCTGATGTTAAGTGAATACCGCCGCCCATGGTGTAGCAGCACCCGAGGGTGCCAGATGCGTTGAAAACCTTTTGCAAATTGGGCTCCGGCAACCTCACTCACCAGACGAAACGCGAAAGTATTATAATTCCACTTTACGCCGGTTTTCTGCGAGGTTTACCATGAATGCGAATTAAATGAAATTTATGAGCATCAGATCACACAATTTTTACTCAAAATTTTGAAATGAATTTTTATGCCAGTTTCGTCGAATTTATGAGCGTTGAAAACATTTCCAAAATCCTCATGATGTTAAAATGCTTCAAACATATTTCGGACTTACCTGTTTCAGTTCCTTTTTAATTGCTCTAGTAACATCGATGCTTTTCTTCTTCAACCTTTTCACCGCGACGATGTTGCCTCTATACAGAGCAATCGTTGTATGCGCCCGACGAGTGTCCACCTCTTGAGGGATCGATGCCTTAAAAGAAACAAGCTCTGGTGTCCTTTAACCCAAATTCCCTTTTAAATACTTGTATGTTTTCAGAAAAAAACACTCTACTATCTATTTTCTATTTTGCATTTGTGGTAATGTTTGGCAGCAAATTTTCGAAAATTTATTCTTTAAAATTGTATTTCAATTTCATCGTGACTACAGATTATGATTACAAATAAATAAATATAAAGTATCTGTGTACTTATGAACGGAAGTTAGAAGTTATACGTCGTCTAGCGTAACATAAAAGAAATAACGAAATATTTTCTCCCCTGTGCCTGTTTTCTGTGTTTGTGAAAAAGACATCAAATTAAATGCATTGGATAATGGTTTAATTACATAACTTGCAATTATATGTAAATATCACAAAGTTGTTATTGGTTGACATGGTAATACTGTTAACTTAGTCGCTTAGCAAACATCTTCATTCGTCAACATCGCTTTTGACTGTCGTTATGCGCGCGCATCGGAAAAGATTTAGTCTCAAATTTTTTTCTTTTTTTCTAAACGCGCCTAATGAAGTATAACTTCAATTATCATAAGAGTGGCATTATAAATGTCGATGTCTCCAGCGTTCCATAACAGCGCGATTTTTAAGGCATTTCTTGCCTCGCACAACCACTCTATGGAACCAACTACCGCCGGCGGTCTTTCCGAACCGACGACCTGGGAACCTTCAAAAAGAGAGCATACTCTTTCTTAAAAGGCCGGCAACGCATTTGTGAGCCCTCGGGTGTTGCAGTCGTTGATGGGCGGCGGTAATTACTTACCATCAGGTGAGCCTCCTGCTTGTTTGCCCCTTTTCTCCATAAAAAAAAAAAAAACAAAATACCACCTACCTTTGCGTCGCCACAGCCAGATATGAAAGTGAGGTCCTTAGCCTCGATTTTCCAGAGGACGGACGCCAGCTTCTGCTCGTAACGGTAGTGGCGGAGGAGCAGGGCCGCTGCAAGGATCGCGGCGGCTGCCACAGCCGCAGCCGCTGACAGAACCCCAGGGTCCTGGGGCAGGGAGCACCCGGAACCGTCGAAGCCGCAGACGGGCTCTGCTATAGGGGGTTCCCCCCCGATCCAAGCGATCCGATTACCGCCCACCAGCTCCTGAACGGGAGAGCAGAAACGGGACTCGCGTTAACAAACAACTATTGCAATATAGAGCGGTTTATAGAGCAACTGACGTGGCGAAAGTATGTGATGCTTTTTGCCTAAACATTTCAATGAGTATTAATTAAATTAATTATTAGTTTTAGTCTTGGTTACGCTTTTTAGAACACGTTTCCATTATAAACTCGTAACTTAAAGTACTTGGTAGCTGAAGAGCGATTAAAAAATTCTTAAGATTCACACGTGTAAGTTATTTCCCTTTCCGCTACAGACTAGCGGCTATAATACGGGAAGACTAACATTCCATGACAATAATCCTGCTTTAAACTTTTCATTCACCTTATAAACGCCCGTCCGTTATTTTAAAACATATCAAATTATATAGTAATGGGACTTAACATAAACTATTGGTAGTATAGATGAATTTATTAAATAATTAAATACCTTTTAGTAATTAAATTATTTAGGCGATAGAGATTTTAACAATAACATATATGAAAATATAAAGTAAAGTAACAGCCTATACATGTCCCACTGCTGGGCAAAGGCCTATTAAAGTAAGTAAGTTAGTTTAATGTGAGCTCTTTTTAATGAGAGCTTTTGATGAGAGACGATTAGCTGTGTTTTGATTAGAGCCGATTAGCTTTGTCTAATCGGTTAGGGTTAAAAGAGAGGTGAAGAAACAAATAGTTTATATCGCCCACCGGCAACGGGTCCGTGGTGTTCGCGTATCGGAATGCTGCCACCGGCTGCGCGCTCCAGCCGCCGGGTGCACTGTGGTCCTCCACCAGGCCTATCACCGAAAAGTTTCCCTCGGCATCTCCGGCACTGTCCATGTTCACCTAAAAACAGCCTTGGCTAGAAATACAGCAAAGTTCACAGCACAGCTCGCTTATTTTACACTCTGGAAGTACCGAGGTTTAGATTTGCTAAAACCAGAAAGTCCTTTCTTCGTAGATGTACAAATTTTTATAGTAAAATAAGTATAATAAACGACTACATCTAAAAAATTTCAAACATTTTGTTAGAGCTTAATGGATAGGGCATATTACAATGCCCTGATGAATGCACCGAGGAAAAATATGTGTGTAAATGACTCAGGATCTGCACTTGCAGTTCATCTTCATCATCATCTCATCATCTTCATGCCCTTATCCCACCTAGGTGGGTGTCGGCAGATCATGAGAATCATGTAGCAAACAGTCTTGGCGATGTCTTTCATAACCAGCCGCTTGCGTGAGGTGAACCCTCTTTGAGAAACAAAACAACCAGACCCGGAATAACTATCAGTGGATCACATTGATAGATAGATCATATAGTTGTCCCGTGTGGGAATCGAACCCACGTCACCCGTCCCCGAAGCCAATAGCTTAAGAACGGCGCCACCAAGTCATCAAATTTAGAATATATCATCATCTCTACATCACTACATAGTATAAAACAAAGTCGTCCCGCTATCTGTCTGTCCATGTATGCTGTGATCTTTAAAACTATGCAATGGATCTTGATGCGGTTTCTTTATATACCCAAAGAAGGTTTATATGTGCAATACATTGCACCCGTGCGAAGCCGGGACGGGTCGCTAGTTAAAACATAAAAAGATAAGACCGCAATGTTTCCTGTTCTTCTCTGAACAGGTGTGATTTAGTCAACCGGCAGTGACGTTCAATAAGAGCTTAAAACAAGCCCATATTGAATAAAGAAATTTTGACTTTGACTTGTCTTTGAAACCCAGTCATGATTCAGCTCCAGCATCTTTATTTAGAGTAAGAATTTGCACTTAAAATATTCAAAGGCACGCATAATTTTCAGAAAGCGACTCTAATCTCATAATTACTTTGTCAAACATAGTGACGTTGTTTTGAAATGTATTTACAAACATTATAAAGCTCTAAAGGGTTCTAGATACGTCTTATTTAGTCATATAAAAATTATAATCGCTTAATACATGTTTTACTCACACATCTTATTTAAAATTGTAAAGGAAAACTTGATCCTAAAGTTCGACAGGATTTTAAACACTAAAATAAACTCACTTCGTGTGTACCGAATGAAATTGTTAATTACAATTTTAATTACAGCGCCCAGCAAATGGTCGTTCCAAAAACATGCATAATATATACAAACACTGTGTCATTCGTTAATGTAATTATTTACTTTATTGCTTTTCGGGGCCTTAATTAATGCGTTTAAGTTATTAGAGGTACTGAGTACAGTTGATAAGTGTTGCAATTAAAATATATTCTTAGTATATTATGCTAGTATATTATAGTCGCAAGTTAAGTCCCAATATAAGGAGGATATATAAAACCACTTACAACATAGTTCACATGTTCTTCCGACCCCACTTAGGTTGAATAAGGGCAGAAGGATGATGTACAGTATGCATGTTCTTCACGATATTTTCCCTTTCATTGATTGGCGGCGGGTTTTAAGCTTGTGTTGTTCCTGTCAATAAAATTAGAAGCAAGCTCCTTGATACTGAGCTATTCGGCAATAAAATAAATGCTGGTAGTATTTTGTATAACTGATATTACGCTTTCAGTCCTTAGACTAAAGCTTCATCGAATGCAGACCCGTGGGGGCTCGTGGCTAGCCAGAACCCACGTGTTCGAGGCCCTCCTCAGTGGGTAGGGCCGCGCATGTACTCATGCGTGCGTTAATTATGACCGATGGCCGTTGACTGTGCTTGGTGATGCTGGTAGTGAGACAATGAATGGGGCATTTTATTACTCACGTCAAATCCTTGCAGTGACCTGTAGGTAGTAGGTCTAAGCAGTTTCATGAGTGTGGCGCCATCTGTCGCCGGGAGGCCATTCCTCATGGCAGCGGTGGCGGCGCGCGCCCAAATAGTGACAGCGTCGTACAAGTGAGCCGCTTCTATAGGCACCTATGCATTTTTTTTATTCGCCATAACATTCGTAAGTATGTTTACCGAATGGTAAACATACTTACGCCCGGTTTCTGAATCACTGATCATCGTAGATGTCAACTAATCAACTGTCAAATGGCTTTTCAAATTTCATTTTAGTTGCAAAAAGGATAGTTAAACTCTCTGAATTGACTAGAATGATCTCCTTAACGATCAGAATGATCAATTCAAAGATTTTAACCATCATCTATCATGATCAGTGTTTCAGAAACCGGGCGTTAGCAGAGTACACATAGACTATAATCAACAATGTAAGGGCAAAATTACTTAAAGGCCATAGTAGTTTTTGGCGTTTAAGTAATTTTGCCTTTCCAATAACGATATGATTGTTTACAAAAACAGTTTGAACTTCGCTTGTCATTGTTCGTGGAACCAAATAAAATAATCTAATTTATTTACAGTTAATCCCATTATGAGGCCACTCTCCCAAATTCAGACAGTGGATAGATTCTTGACGACGCAACATATAATATGGTATATCCCCACACTGCTTCGTAGAGAAACTTTTTAAAGAGGTAGCTATATGTTAGTTAAAAATTAAAATCACCCACAGAGGTCATTAGGGAGTTAATTATCCACCGCACATCGTTTTACGAAGCTAAAAGGCAGTTGAAGGGCACTTTGGGTATATAATGCTAGTAGAGACGCCCACTGAACCGTTAACCTGGACATTTTCTCACAATCCATTAACCTACTTACACCATCGTGTACTCATCCTCTTAAGTTGCAGCGATACATGCAACCGAAGATGAAAATTTGAACCTATATTTTCGCCAATTATTATCAATTTATATGCCGTAATCGGGAAATGATAAGACTCTAAAAAATAATATTTAATAATGCACGAATGGTGGGGGCTGCTCTAGAACATCAAAGACATTTCAATTTGGAAAGTTTTATATCATACATTAATAAAAAAATTGTATGGACTTGTTTTTCTTAGTTTAACATTGGTAGCGAATATTATGTATAGTTATCTAATTTTTAGGGTTCCGTACCCAAAGGGTAAAACGGGACCCTATTACTAAGACTCTGCCTGTCTGTCTGCAACCAGGCTGTATCTCATGAACAGTGATAGTTAGACAATTGAAATTTTCACAGATGATGTATTTCTGTTGCCGGTATAACAGATAAAAAACAGAATAAAATGAAAAATATTTAAGCGCGATTCCGTGTCGCACTTGGCCGTGTTTTTAATCAATTGCCCACATAAATTTTAAACTTATGAAGGGCAATCGATTAAAAACTTGATTAAAAATTTTAAATGGATATGCACTTATATTTTTATAATAATAGGCATAAATATAGACAATGTACATATATTTATGTTTATTTCTGTTTATAAAACCAACCAGACGAGAAAACAAATAAATATCCTCAAAAGAGACGTAATACACTGTCACCATTTTAAGTACTTCATTTTATTTTATGGTTCGTTATATAATAAAAATTATATGTACTTGTGCAAGCACTACAAAACACTGAAAGAAAAAAATTACATATTTTGCATAAAGACGTTATTATCAATAACATCTTCGCTGAACGTCAGTATGATATGGATGCAATTTTTTTTAATAAACCTGAATGAAGTATGTATAACTGAAAAAATAAACTTAAGGAATCATAAAGTGTGGATCGTTACGGTACATTACTTTTATTTTTCTTACTCTCGCGAGAGGAAATTAATTTTCGGACGTTAATGCTTCAGCATTATGTTATACTCAACGATGCGTGTTTTACTGTGATAAAAACAAATAAAAAAACTCATAATACGAAGGAGCCAGCTAAGAGAGGTCACATCGTGTTTCAACGCGGGCGCCTAAATCATCTCCTAAATTAAGTCGACCCTTTTATAATGCTGAAAAAAATAAACATTTCCTACATTTAACTGGAAATGACGACCCGACTGTACCTGCCTCCTGCGCCAGAGGGTGTGGGTTCGATTCCGACCACTGGAAAAATAATGCGATGAACATAGTGTTTTTCTAGTGTCTGGTTGTTTATATATGTATAATATGTATTTATTTCCAAAAGAAAAGTATGTTTAAGTATGTTTCTCTGCTATAATACCCATAGTACAAGCGTTCGTTCGTTTGGGACTAGAGAACTAAAGTTGTATAAATAAAACTCTATATTTAAAATGTGATACATTAATTTTTGTAGGATTGTAATGTAGTTCAATTTTTTGTACATAAATTGTTGAAAAATTGAGCCTCAGCCGCTTATCTCCATTGGTAAAACAAGATGCTTTTACTAATTGAGGTAAGCCGCTCGGGTCGCGAAAATATCATCATCTATCTACTTTACAGTTTTTGTTATGTGAAAAGTTGACAAGCTAGCAGGCGGTTCACCTGATGTCTGAATACCGCCGCCCATCTGCGCATGGATATCTGCTACACCCGAAGGTTACAGATTGAAATAAAATAAACTACTTGACCCTACCACAGTCCAGACTTTATTAGTTAATTAATTAATTGGATTTAAACTGGTATATGTATGTATATACCTATCTTAAGGGACTCTTAATTCATAAGCAGCGTTATAAATGAGAAAGTTCTCAGAGAAGCCTTTTATACTTAAATAGAAACTCAGCTAAATTGACTGTCTAAATATTGGCCCTTCTATGTAAAATTTTATAATCGGATATAATAACCATGACAATGGACTACGCTGCTTTGTTACAGCGGCAGCTACGGATACATTTTTAATTATAATTGAAGCAGATAAAATCGGCATTTTGGCCACATTTCATCGTACAAGAACTACTGGTTAACTTGGTGGAACTTTACGAGTTTTCTAAATTTTTAAATCAAATTCAAGGTCCCATTTTTCATTGATTAATTGGTGTCATGGATATTTGCAACTAAAGAGGAACTTTTGAGAAGGTCTTCTAAATTTTAAATTATATAAGTTTATATTCAAAGAACGGTATATTTAGTAAGTGTAAATAAAACGTGCTCTACTTTAGCAGAGTACTAACAAAGTTTGAATTACATAATATATGTTGATACGATAGAGATTCAATATTGACATTCATGTTACCATCCCTTTCAATGATCTCGATTTATTCGGCGCACACGTACCAGCGCCTCGACAAAAATTATATTTTTTACTAGCTGACTTGGAAAATCTTGTTTTGCCATATAAATTATTTCTAAAGGAATCGGAACGCGTTCAAAAATCGTCTGTCAGGTTGAGAGATACAGTTTGTATGGGAAAATAAAATTCATTATTTCGATTTTCCATGAAATTTTTCCATAATTTCTCATCGTTTAAACTTTCCCTGGACTGCCACAAATATTTCAAAACCAAAATTAGCCAAATCGGTCCAGGCGTTCCCGAGTTTTAGCGAGACTAACGAACAGCAATCCATTTTTTATATATAAGATTAATGTTACCCTGTTCAGTCAAGTTTTTCAAGTCACTAGGTCACTTACAAATGCAGCAACAGGATTATAGCACAATTTTGTCAATACGCAGCGTGAATTGTTAATGTACAAACTCTATTCTAAATAAATGAGTCACTGTTGATGGGCAAAACAAGGGCTAATTTACTAAGAAATTTCGGTCGGACAATATTTACATAATTGTTTGAAAACAAATCTGACGGCAAAGCATTTTATTGTGAAAGTAATAAGTTATCGAATGCGGGATGAAGTCGCGGCATTCTCATCGAATGAACGGCCCAGACAGTGCTCAGAAGGAATACCGACCTCCGTCACCTAATACAAAATTAAAATTAAACATTTTGTTTCGCGCCTTATCACGATATCATCCTTTGAAATTCGTGACCTAATACAAAATTAAAATTAAACATTTTGTTTCGCGCCTTATCACGATATCATCCTTTGAAATTCTAGAGCTATCTTGGATTCCGCAAATGAATTCTCATTACATTTGCGATTTTAATTTGCCATGATTGACTTTCATCCTCTATTATAATTTTTTTGAAAATAAAAAAAAAATAACTTTAGGTAAAGTTTCGTAAATATTTTGTTATATGTACTTGTTTCTTATTTTTAGAATAGTATTATAAAGGGCTGATTTTATACTTCCATAACAAGCTTATCTTTTACATTATTAATAACGTTCAACTATGATGTAAACTTGTATCTCTTATTTCATTCTCTCAAGATTACAACTTATAATTAACCATTTTAAAGGCAATGAAAGAAAAGGCTTTTAATTAGGAACAGTAATTAATAATAATAACAATAATAATGTATTTTATTTCTCCTTACAATACATGACAACAAGATACAATATCATAAGTTGGTACAGCTTCAGTAAAAGATTTAATCAGGTAATTGTGCGGAGCTGGTGTCTATTATAGGTGTAAAATCCTGTATTACAGATCACCAGGTCCTCACCCTACGGAATCAAGTTAAGCAAAGTTAACTGAAATAATTATACATTAAATAAATTGTCTTAAGTAACTGTCCAGGTATAAGGAGATTGAATAAAAAGAGATCAACATGTGTGTGTGTGTGTGTGTGGTTAATTAACCTATTCAGGAGAGTAATGTGTAAAGTACTGTGCGTTTTTAGTTGTTATGTAGGTATTTTTATGAAAGAGTAAAAAATTACAGTAAAAAAACGAAAAACAATTAAAATAATCTCGGACCCCAAAGCGTATTTCTTACATAATATTTAAAAAACAACTCATTGTTGAAAATAAGACAATAAAAAATACACACAATTGATGCAGTATTGCGTAGTATTCCTTATAAAAGCAAATGCATGCCAGCGCCTACATAATAATATACCAGAGCTATTTAGTAAACCGGAGTATTAATCCCAAATGAAATGTTATCCAAAGATCCGTGCCCCTAGAAAAAATTCAGTCTGCATATGTGGTACAAATTCTTGACGTGTAGCTATAAATATTTTGTAAACTTATACCTTTCATGCTACTAAATAATAAATATTATTAGGACACATTTTTACACAACGTTCTCTAGTCCAAAACTAAGCAACGCTTGTACTATGTGTACTAGATAACTTATAAACATACTCTTATTTTGTAATTAAATACATATTGTACATACATAAACACTCAGACTCTAGGAAAACACTATGCTCATCACACAATATTTTTCCCGTAGTGGGGATCGAATCCACAACCTCTGGCGCAGAATGTAGTGGCGGTAGTGCACTTGCTACCGACTACGCCATTCGGGTCGTCAGTGAAATCCCACAGCGCTCACAAGTTTGGTTGGATTCGGTATGAGATTGACATCAGTACATCCATCTGTACATTGTCGATTTTCACGGTGCAATCCTCTGAGTTTTTCAGATTTTTGTGTTTTTTATTTACGGGAAAAGGTGGCAAGATGGCAAGCGTACAGACGGTTCACTTAATGTTAAGTGATAACCGCAGCCCACCGTAGACTATATAAAGCTTCATGGGACACAGAAATGGTGGAAAGACTAGGTGTCCACGAGTTTGTTAGACCCTATCTTTGTGCACATGCGGATATTAACAAGTTACACATGCACACATGTGGGTAGTAACATTAAAGTAACAGTCTATACATATATGTCCCACTGCTGGGCAAAGGCCTCTTCTATACAGAGGGTATCAAGGCATAGTCCACCACGCGGCCCCACTGCGGATTGGCGGACTTCACATATCTTCGAAATTTTTTTTTTGTAATATTTATTATTTCGAATATATTCAGGTTTCCTCACGATGTTTTCCTTCACAGCGGAGCACGTGATAAGTCAGCACTTAAAGTTAAAAACTAGTAACAAGTTGGGGAATTTTCGACATTGACTTTATGAAATGCGAGAACCTCCTTACATTGTATATAAATGATAATTAATCATTCTGTAAGATGAAATAAATGAATCAAACCTTTCTCATCAAGAGCTGAAAATATATAAAGGAAGAGGGAACACGGTCTAATTGTCAAAAAAACAAAAATAATAAAATTCTATTTGAAAAATAGAAACAATTTATACTTTCATTTCGTCCTTCCTTAATTTTGTAACAGGAGGATTTATAACAAACTTTTAGTAGTACTGTATGAAATTATAATGAACATGGATTATGCTAATAAATCTGTCAGCATATTATTTTTCTGACGACTAATTTATCAACTTGATAAAAATGTTGAAACCACTAGCAATTTAGTGCAATTCATATATGTTTTATTGTTTGACGACTGCTTTATTAGTGACTTTTTTACTTTTACATATTAAGGACGAAATGAGCGATAAACATTTTTCAAGTTTCTTCCCATAGACTATACTCACCGAAGCGTCTTCAAATAACTTGTGGTAATTCGGTACGCAGAAAGGCGAAGCCGCAGACAGCTCTCGTATCATACGACACAGCCTTCTGGAAATTTAGCTTAATGTCACACATTCTGAAGATGCCACCTACAGTTTTATCATCATTTATGACAACGCTCATTCTTAGCCATGGATTGAAATTAGCCAGTCATGAAAATTGCACAAAATGCTACTACATTTTCTCCATGTTGATCAAAATAAATGTATTTGTTGCACAGATACTGTCTGAGAAAAAACAATACTATAATTTTGAAGATATGCATTTACACGCATCAAATCATGGATTACAGCATTGTTAGAAATGACCAGAATATCCTTACTAATATTATAAAGGCAAAATTTTATATTTATGGATGGATGTTTGTTACTCTTTCACGCAAAAACTACTGAACAGATTTTAATGAAACTTTACAACAATATAGCTGATACATCAGAATAAGACATAGGCTATAATTTATATACATATTTTTATGTATATCTGTCTTGGAAGCGAACAGTGACGACGAGACGCAATGCTATCTATCGACAGCTACGACCACTCTGCCAAGAGTGTCCGATTAAGAAGAAGAAAAATCATAGGAGCTAATGGTCGCTGCCTTGTACTTACGGATAGTGAGGGTTAGTAGGATACGAAGGGGTAAGCTTGAGCACCGCCCTGAATGCCAGAATATCCTTGCTGCTGTTCTGTATCAGGTGATCTGTTGACAAACATTTTTAAGCAATAAGTTCGAGTAACGAGTGCTGTCCTTCATAATAAAAATATCGCCATCAAAATCAGTTTACATTTATCTTACTTTGTATCACAATGATATTAAGGGATTAGTAAAGTAACAGCCTATACATGTCCCGCTGCTGGGCAAAGGCCTCCTCTATACAGAGGGTATCAGGGCATAGTCCACCACGCGGCCCCACTGCGGACTGACGGACTTCACATATCTTCGATTTTTTTTTGTTATTATTTCGAAAATATGCAGGTTTCCTCACGATGTTTCTTTCACCGCGGAGCACGTGATAAGTCAGCACTTAAAGTTGAAAACTTCATTGGTGCCAGCACCGGGGATCGAACTCAGGTTGCTCGAGTATATTGAATTAAAGGCGAGCGCCCGGTCACTGAGCTATCACGGCTCAAGGGATAGTAAATTTATACAATTAGTAATTTTTTGTATATGGGGGGCACCTATGTGGACACGAACAGGCTGACATGATGATGATGAGTCATAATTACCAACGATACTTTACGGTAAAGTTGCGATGCGAAAAAAAAAACATTTTATTCGAAGATATTTCCCAACTATCTCCTAGCTTATATAAATCCTGAGAGCAGACATTTGTTATACGACGCTACAATAATACATCGTTGGAGCGATTGGATGGATTTCACACAGTCTAAGATGTGATGGGTAGATTATTTTCCGAAGTGGGCAACATTATACTATAACAGTAAAGCTGTTACAATTGACCCACTTTATATATTTAGTGAAAGATCATATAAAATTCTTCCACCGGATCACTAATTTGTAAGTGTTAACAGTTGCTAGCAACAGTGTACATGTATATGACTCACTAATGAGAAAATACTTTTACTGTTTTGGTGCCTTATTGTGATCTGTCATTTTAGAAAGAAAGAAATGTTAATTCAGAGCATTATACATTACAGGAAAAAATAACATGTAAAAATGTATGCAAAAAAATGTTCAGGCATTGGGTTTCTGCGGATGCTTTATAAAACTGTCAGCTCCAAGCATACAGCCAACAAAAATAAAATAAAAACAAAGTAATTTAAAAATAAATAAAAGAAAAATACGGATAAAACAATAATAATAACGAACAAAATTATAACATAGGCAAACAGCGATATGGTTGGTAGGTCTTTTGCAAATTAGGCAATATTTTACACCTTAATACATTGAGGTCAGAGAGCTTACCGGCGTGTGTAATAGCGGCTGTGCTGGGGTCGTAAATCTCGTCGTCGACGGCGACTACAGCGTACTCCCCGGCATCTAGAAGGCCTCGCCTCCTCAGCACGCTCACGAAATCCACAAGGGCCACATGCTCACCCAGGAAAACGTAGACTGTGGACGTTCCGATCGTTAGAATCGGCAAGAAATAATTGAACGAAGATATCAAATGGAGACAAACCTACATTACATTACATCCAAATGTAACGCACTGAACCTATCCATTACAATAAAATAAATATTGTCAAAAATCTTCGAGACAAATCAATAGCATAATTATAAAATTTGTATACAGCCTGCGGACATTTGAATAAAGTCCTGTTACACGCTGAACGAATGACCTCATGTGGCGGAATATATTTGAATAATATATATCCTATTATATATATATATATGAATATATAGATATGATATATATATATATGGCTTATATATATAACTTTAAATAAAAGAATTAAGAAAGAGGGAAGGAAGGAAGTATAAAAACAGATAAGCAAAAGTGGAACAAATATAATTTCATCTGCGGGTAAAGTAATGTTAAGTAAAGTAAAGTAACAGCCTATACAAGCAAAGGCCTCCTCCCCCTCTGTACAGAGATTGGCAGGCTTCACATGTCTTCGAAATATTTTTGTTAAGTTATTATTTCCAAAATATGGAGGTTTCCTGATAAACCTACATAATCTGGGGGTGTCACTTATAAATTCGCAATCAGATATCTACAAGATTAAATCTATCTAAATTAACATATTATCTAATAAATCTAATCCACGCGGGATGGTGCTAAGAACGCTATTGGTGTAAAACAAACAGCAAATAATAACAAAGTTCAGGGAAAAATATGAACAACCGCAGGTCTTCACGAATAAGTTGGTTGAGTACGAAATTAATAAAATTAAAACGTTAAGACTATGATAATCTCTGAATTACTTGTTTTCTTCTTTAAGGTTTTGGTACTGCGTTATTAATATATCGTTGTACGTGACTTACTTCTCGTTTTGTCATAGGTCTGGTCAACAATCTTCTCAATATGCTCGGATTTGTGTGGCAAATAGTCTGTAAATCGATGTTCTGCTGTGATCGTCAGTCCATTGATCTGAGACAATTCCTGGGAACAAGGAAAATAAGTAACTTTAAACGATAAATTTCCTTAAAAAGTGTTCGTCCTGCCAGGACTAGATCGTGCGCTTTGTGGCCAATGTTTTAATTAAGGCAATTCTACAAAATAAGATAACTGTTGTGGTAATAACTAATTAATGCTTGGTTATTACCATTCGGCAACTGATCACGGTTCCATAAAAAATATCGCACGGGCCAACTAGTTGTTATTTTTTTTTTCAAATTAAACTGTACCCAGTCGTTTCATTGTCATCCTGTGTAACATTCAAGATGCAAAGTAACAGTGACCAGATAGTGGTTGAACTGAGTAAAAATCACTTAGCATTAAAAAGAAAAACTCGCGAGCTCTTGCCCAAAACATTGTCAGCTGATTGGATCGTTAAACATAAAAGTATGCATGTTTTGTATGTATATGTATATGTTTATTTAAATATATTTAATGTACATATTGTAGAGTACCATTTTTTATATTAGTGCTATGTTATTTTATGTTAGGTATGTATAATATTTTAAAATTTTAATGATTGCATTCTTTAATGTTATTTATATGTTATAATCAACCTTAGTGGTCCAGAGTAGTGTAAGTACTACTCATGACTTTAACTTGCAATCTCAGATCCTTTAACAGGAGTAGTTTAAGCCATAAAGATGCAATAACCATATTGACATGTGAATATTTGATCAAAGCAGAGTTTGGATAGAACGGGATCCATCGAGAATTCTGACTATGTGCAAATTTTCCACCCTTAATGCTATTCATAATATAACTCCAGAACTTCTGAAGTTGCAGCAACTATGGCGTTATATTACTTTGAAAGCTACGGCGTAGGAATATCAGTAGTAATAGTATCGTAGCACCCGAACTTTAGTATTGGTTTCACCGCAAGTTCGTAATACTAATTGATAGACGACCCGAATGACGTAGTGGGTAGTGTACCTGCCTTCTGCGTCAGAGGGTGTGGGTTCGATCCCCACTACTGGAAAAATATTGTGTGATGAACATAGTGTTTTTCCAGTGTCTGGGTGTTTATATATCTATAATATGTATTTATTTACAAAAAAAAAGTATGTTTAAGTATGTTTCTCAGTTACCTAGTACCCATAGCACAAGCTTTGCTTAGTTTGGGACTAGAGAACGTTGTGTAAAAATGTGTCCTAAATATTTATTTATTTATTTATTTATTTATTTATTTATTTATTTATTTATTTATTTATTAATTATTTGTTTATCTCTGAAATGTCTTTACGCAATATATTAAGAATCGAAATGAGTGCTTCAACTACCTATCATACCAAGAAAACATAGACAAACGTTACTCATTAGCATTGCTATTGTCGGGTTTTGCCGAGAAATAACAAGGTGGCATTTTGCCGAGAAATAACAATAACGTAAAGAAGGTGCACTTATTGTTAACAAACGAGTAAGATATAAGTTAAAAAACTAAAAGATCCGACTGTGTTTCTTTTTTCAATTTTTTATTTTTATATACCCAGTTTCTCTCTCACAGTACATACGAATCTAACGACACCTCTCTAGTTAAAATCCATCAAGCCGTTCAGGCTGCAAAGCGTGCCTAACAATTATACATACATACATACATACGAGTACATAGTCTCGAAACAAAAACAAACATAACCCTCCTTCTGGCGCAGTGGGTTAAAAAGTTCTTATAATTGCGTATTTAATTCAAGTAAAATATTAGAAATTGTTCGAAGTTTCTTGATAATTTTTTTATGTAAGTTTCAGTTTCACCAATGTAGTCTTAGCTGACGTTGTTTTAAAGAAAATATTTGTTGCATGGGTCTTTGCAGTTGTCATAAACATTACCTTAAAGACGTGAAGGATTACATTAGGACGAACATTAGGACAATGTAGAAATTGTCTTTATTCGTTTGGATAATAAACAATAAAACTTTGACCGTCTCACAAGTCGAATAAAAGTGGTAGGGCTAGATTAACTGGGGAGGGCTGCGAATGCCTAGGGAGAACTCATTGAAAACGCCAACGCCAACACAACAGTTGGTTCCCAACCTGTGTTTATCGCAACACAAGACAAGATAAGTTAGATGAATAAATATTTTCAGAACATATTTTTACACAACGTTATCTAGTTCCAAACTAAGTAAAGATTCTACTATGGATACTGGGATCTAAAAAACATACTTAAATATACATTTTGTTTTGTAAATATATACATATCTTCTTCTGTATACTTGGCCAAGGGTACCGTAACTTAATCTATAAAATCGGCAAAAAATCATGTCTGTTGTATGGGAGCCCCGCTTAAATATTTTTTCATTCTGTTCTTTTAGTTTTTATAGTGGCAACAGAAATACTTCATCTATAAAAATTTCAAGGGTATAACTATCACGGTACATGAGGTACAGCCTGGTGACAGACGGACAAACAGAGTCTTAGTAATAGGATCCTGTTATACCCTTTGGGTACGGAACTCTAAAAAAATATCATCCATATATTTGTGCCCACAAATTCACGCCGGCGTGGTCAACTACGGCGAAGCCAAACGGAACCCACACGGCGGTGGTGAGGCTGTGGTGGTTTTCTAGCTTTCTTTTTTTTTGGGCTTTCCTACTAACTATGGCCGAGAGGTGGTGAGTGGTGAATCATAGAGCAGTTCCATTGCTGGGGGCTGGGAGCTACTGCTTATTAATATATGGCCTTCCTGGCTCTCGTGGCGTCTGGCCAGCGAACGCGGGGGGAGTTAGTTGGTCGTGCAAAAGGGTTGGAAGGCACACTGAATGTTCCAGTGTGCCTTACCTAGAAGAAAGGGAGTTGTCTTACACGAGGGGCTGCTGCGGCAGCCAGCGCTGTCAGGGTTGCGGAAGTGTGCGAAACCGATCCCGTGGCCCTGCCGATATATACCCTAGGTGGAACATCGTCTGTGCCTGTGTCTCAGTCTGTGCGTGTCCGATACCGTCCTTGTACGTATTACCCCCATGTTAACAAAAAACAAAATAAAAGTTCACTATCCACTAAACTAATTTGCTCATCCAATAATAAGCGAAATTTTGGGATGAAGAAAAGAATACCAGTTGAAGTTTCCTCGCATATGCCAAAAAAGATTCGGTTGGTAATAGAAATCAAAGTTTTGCCATGTCACCTTGATAGCGTCCATCTGCTGTCCAGCGGCGGTGTGCTCGTCGCCGGCGACTATCGCGAACTTGCTCCAGCCGTAGGCCTTCAGCAGGGCCACCACGGATTTGCTGACCTTGTGCGCCGGCGGCAGCGTCCTGGCGAAGGTAGCGCCCAAGCCTCCCGCCTCCCTACTTCCGTGGGCTCCGGCACATTTCTAAACGCAAATAAACTCTATACTAATTTTTACTTTATATAACTTGGAACAATTTCGTGGCAACGCATATGCTACCCTATGGGTGTTGAAAACGTCCATGGACGGCGGTTATCAAGCGGTGTTATGTCCGGGGATGTACTATGACCTCACAGAAGACCGGCGTGTATTGGAAGTGTTACAGTTAAGTGATGTATACATATGCGTAAATATACACAAACGCAGGAAACAAGGCAATTAAAGCAAAACAAATCTCATAGCAAAAGCGCAGCAACGGTCTTCTGAAGCTTCAAAAACGCCTCCAATGTACGCTTTAGAAAGGCAGCTCTAAGGTCAAAAATAAATAAGGAAGTCCTCCGATAGGACACTGTTAGAAAAATTGTCTCTTAAGTTTTCTTCGGAATAATTTACTGAGTCTATTATGTTTGGTCACTGCGCAGTGTCTCAGTCCTACGCGTTTATGCACAGCGCGTGGGTAGTCGTCGGGACTACTTACGTGCGATATGAGAGGCAGGTTCCACGCGGCGGCCAGTCTCGCCTCCGTCAGACACGTGCCGTCCAAGCCGAAGAACGCGACGACGCCGAGATCGCGCATTTGCGTCATCACCCTGCGAAATGAGATTACGCTGACTACGGGACGTCAAGGCTCTTTTTCCACTTCGTTTGATAAAATTCTACATGCCACGACTTAATTCTAAACGACATCCTCTACAGACACACAACAGTCACGGCTGTTGCACGAATGGGCAGGCCCGTCCGGCTAAGTAACACGAACTCGCAGAAAACCGGCGTAAAGTAGGAGTGTTATACTTCTGCGTTTCGTCTGGCGAGTGAGCTAGCCGGGCCCACTTTGGCAACCCATCTGCAATCCTATGGGTGTTGAAAATGTCCCATGGGCGGCGGTTATTAATTAACATCAGGTGAACTGCTAGCTTGCCATCTCTCACATAAAAAAAATATCATAGATAGTTTATAGCATAATATGGGCAGTTGGTATAGTAGGCCTCGCCCACAGGCTGCCATGAATCACGATCCAGAGCCACCTGCTTCCATCGACTTTCTGCACATTTTCACAGGTCTATTTTAATTATTTATCTAAAAACTTGTTGCATAATAGCGTACAATGGCGGACTTAACACCCTTATGAATTCTGTACCAGTCAATCGTGAACTGACAAATAAATAGAGAAAATAATGATATAAATACCTACATAGTACTAAATATGTTAAAAAGTATATATGTTACGAGTATTTATTATATGGTCTGTGTTCAGCAGTGGACTCGGACAGGTGGAAATGATGATGATGCTAGTATAGTATAGGCCAGTGGAGTTAATGAAAATCTGAATCTAAAACAAACTTCTCAGATTAAGGTAGATGCGCAAAGCAGATCGTCGCCGTATTTGTATAATTTCCAGTTAACCATTGTTTACTTACACGTACTAACAGTGAGTCTCTGGTTACACGTTCAACGCAAAGCACGTGTAATCATTGACATGGAAAATACGTACTTATGCATTCAAAGTTTGTGTTATTGGATACATTTCTACATGTTTAAAGTTCACCTTTAAGTGCACTAGAGAAAACAATAAATATGCTACACTGAAAATAAAACAAATATGCCAGCGATTTGATTTATTCGAAAAATTTATAACTTGGGAAATAACAACGTTAAAACGATTACTGACTAGAAATTTTATTACTTATTGAGTATTGTTAAAAAATTTTCCGTAATTTTAAAAGCTATCTAAGATATTTCCTGAAATTTTCTAGAAATGGAACAGTTTTTATGCGAAAAATTGCTTCACTTGAGCAATAACGAATTTTGCCGTGTTCATGACACTGTAAAATTCGCCGAAAGGAAACAATTTTAACTTTATATTTCATATTTCACTGAAATATCATATCTCTCACGGTTAAATATGTAGACTGGATAGAGAATGAAAACTGGAGAACAATATTGTGTTACAGCACTATATGTAATGTTATGCGTAACTTTAGCCCTTAGAATATTTTATCGCGAATACTATATTACATATATGTACAATCTATATCTATATGGAAGATTAATTTCTGCATATTAATCCTTAACTCAAAATAAACGTTCATAGCACAATTTTTGTCGAAGAATTTTTTTGAATCGAATTATAGAAAGGCGACGAAAGAACCGGTGCGTAACTAGGACGCAGTACGGGAAATGAGGCCGCTAATAAATGGACCTTCCATCACACAGTCATTCCTTTTACCTGGTAGTACGTCACGATGACGTCGCAGGAAATCTGCTAGTTCAGTAAAAGGATCCCAAGTTGCACACCCAATGTCAAGTCCTTACCCACCTCAAGGATAACGAGTCCTTATCTAGGGGCAACGGTGGCCGTGGGCGGCCGATATCTGCCGCGAGGAATCGCAACCTAAGCCCTGGTAGTAGACTTGGCTCCCTATTCACAGCTGCCACGGCCAGCGGCAGAGCACCGAGCACGGTCTGCAAAGAAAGCATTTTTTTTTATTTTGTTCACCGAACACTGTCTACAAACGTTATTAAGTTAAACCTGCCCATTGCAATTTACTAGTATTGGAGCTATAAAACTCAAATCAATTTATCGATTAATGCCAATTCAAATAGAATACGTACAATGTAGATTCAGTCAAATTGAAAATTATAAACTTATTGTCTCCCACATTTATCTACTGGGTAACAAAGTTCAAATTTCTTATCAATTTAACCTCAAAAAATTCTTACTACCACCAAAAATGTAAGCAATACGTCTGGCCAACGTGGCATGATGGCGGGGAAGGTAGTTGCATTTTTCCATGTTCACAGTAGACCAACGTGACCGAAGAGTAGTGTTATATTTTCGACACTGCTTTGTTCTTTTTTAAAAGTTGGCAACACCTCTATAGCTCCTTCTTCTTATTTATTTATTTATTTATTTAATCTTTATTGCACAGAAAATTGTACAAAGGAGAGCTTAATGCTATATTGCTTCTTTGTAGCAGATGTCCACCGGAAGCGGTAATCATCAGACAAAACGCCTGCACGTTTGCCAACTTACCATAATAATGTTAATATCGAGTTTATTAAAATAAATCCAGCCATACAACTAGCGATTATTTATTTTTAACATTTAGCTAGTAGTACTAAGGCCGGAAATCGATTTAGTACGGTGATATTAGATCTAAGACTTACGAGATGAAGCCATTTAGGCTAAGGACAACACTTCAAAACGCCTCAAACGTGCGATTTAAAAAGGCAGGTCTAAGCTGAACAGATAAGAAATAAAGGAAACTCCGTCGATAGTAAAATTTCCTCTTAAATTTTCTCTTAAATATATAGCTATAATATAGAACATAATATAGCTAGCTAGAATATATAGCTTAAGGTTAGTTTAATTTATAAACGTGGTAAATAGTGCTGAGGGCACAGTTGCCAAACTAAATTTTGTTTTAAGGTTTGTTTACTTAACGTAATTTAAGTAAAGCCGATATAATATATTTTATTTAAATTACATCATGAAGATTGACTGGTATATAGTGATAGTTATGTAGAAAGTTATATCTTTAAACATATTTTTTTATGCATAAATAATAAATATATTAATAAAAATAAATATTTATATGTTTATTTTTATTCATTATATTTATTTTATATATGTATTATATATCTATGTTTTTTTTATAGATCCAACCAGACGAGAAAACAAATGAATATCCCTCCAAAATAAAGAGCTCCCTATGATAATAGCCTATTCAAAGGGCGTGCTTATGTTTCAAACTCTTGCTGTACGCATTACAAATGATGAAGTTGACGCTCAACTTTGCGCGGAATGTCGTCAAAAAATTCGGCTTCCAAAGATATCTAGTGCTGAGTTATTGGTGGTATCTGACGGGAATCATGAAATTAAACCATGCAATATCTGCGCACTCTCCGAAATTCAAATGACGTAATTCGGTCTATGTATGTTTGTGCTCTCGGCTTTTGGCTACCAAGGAATCCCCATTACTGATCTAGGATCGTATGCTTCGAAGTTGACACCGGTTTTGACGCGTCTTATCCTACTCTTATTTTTTATGTGATAAAGTGGCAACCGAGCCAGCGGTTCACCTGATGTTAAGTGATAACCGCCTGCCCATGGGCATTTGCAATCTCTTTTCTCATTTTTCAATTTTGAATTTTAAGCAATACTTATTTATTTATTTATTGTTATATCCTTTACAGCGTACCTACAATTTTACTTTTAGATGACGACTTAGGGGCGCAGTTGCCATGGTATTCGTGCTTCATCTGTGCCTGCGGTCGAAATATGGAAGAGTGAAAAAAGTTCTAAGCATTCTGAATATTTATCGCAAACTGTTCTAATTTAACGGCTCGATCGGTTTACACATATTTCAATTCAGATCATGGACGCCTTCTTGGCGTACACTGGATAAAAGTACGAGTTAAGATAGGGAAAACTTTTAATAACAAATTATAAGGAAGATGGAAAACAAATCACATGTTGAACATTGAGGAAATGAAATCGTAAATGATAACGCTCACATATTAAAACCAAACACGAGCAAAGCTGTGAGTACAGATGGATCTATGAATAAGTTGTATGGAAACAAATCCATAAAAGTATATCAACATCTTAACTTTGAACAATAGTTTTTTTGCACTTATACTTCTTTTTCAGTTTTTTACAATTCTTCCTTTAATTTTGAATTGTCAATGCCTGTCATCGGGCTGTAGATTTAGGTTATCATGATCTAAAGGAGTGATAGTGTGGTTGTTATTGTGTGTTTTTATTCTATTTCTTCTCGCCATTCCTTATTCGTAGATTTCCGTTTGCGCATAGCAGCTGTATATTCTCGCTATGGTATATCGTACACAATTGTTTCCAGTATGTAATTTTTTTGTGAGCTACTTTAAGAGTAAAGGTTCAAAAGCCAAAAGGTTTCCTTTTGGCTTTTGAATTTTCAGAGGGGGAGCTTAAACTTAATGTAGAGATTCTGGAAACAAAACGAGTTTGTATTGTGATTAACGACACTGCATGTGTTCTAAACGTAGAAACAAAAACACTAATATTTTTTCTGTCAAAAAACGATACTTAAATGGCTTTTTAAAAGGGGTAAAAATATTACAAATACCGTCCATACATACGTTACGAAAACGGTAACTCATCAGTAACACGTTATATACATGTAATGAGTACAAAGCTAATTAAAAAACTAAAATTCGGCAAGTTTTTTCCCCCCAAAACAAACAATGATCGCTGCCCGATCATTGTTTGTTTTGAAGGGTTACGAAAATTCGAACTTAATAACGTATACTGTAAATTTATTGTATAACGTATATTATAAAACAACTTTAAGGTTTAATTTCATATACAATGCAAATAAGTTGACCTTTATAGTTCGTTAGGTACACGATGTAATGTTTCTTTTAATTTCATAAAACGATGTTAGGAACTATAATAAAAGTAAACATTTTTAGAATTTTAATTATTAAAATAATTAAAACTATGGGCAATTGTTTACAATAGGGCACACGCGTTTTTCATTTACAAATATTTTTAATAGAAATAAACATAATCGAAACAATTATTACCAAGTAACTAATAGGCGTGGACACTTAGATTTTGAGATAAAAAAAGTATAGGAAATTAAAAAAAAATCACTTCTAAGATTATGATGTTATATTGTCCTGTATCGGATCTATTGTAACGCCTACCGTTTTCAAAGAGCAATCAAACCACTAATTCACTTACGCGATTTGCTTTATAATTGTTAATTAGGGTGGTACTCAAAAAATTCTAAGACCACTTGCAAGAGGCGAAGTTCCATTGCGATCATTTGGAACAAACAACTGTTAACGACAACAGCTACGGTCACGTCTCCGTTCAATTTACTTCGACCGGCAAACCGGTTTATCCATAACCGCTGTAAATAGGTAGTTCGCCCTCGCCTCCGAGCACGGCGGGACCAAAACAAAGCGTACATAAGGTACACACGCGTTCTAGGGCGGTTCTCACCGCCGCCCAGCCACCTATTAGCTAACAACACAGTCGACGGACATCGTGGTTTCGGTCCGCACCACAACCTCGATGGCTCTTAGATGACTGTTGGTTCGTGTATTCACTGAATACACGACCGATCTATTTTTGTATATTTTTATTCCTGTTGAGTATTCCCCTTTTCTTTAAATGATTGTTAGTTTTAATTATGTTCTTTTTTTTAATTTTATAATTAAATATTCTGGCTATGGATAGTTGAGTTAATTATTAGTCTATTCTATTCGAAACCTACGTTTCACTATGGCTCGCTTTGAACCTAACCTAAATTAACAAAAACAAAAACTAATTTTGTGCATAACGTGATATCCTTTTTGGATTTACTTTATTTATTAAATTGTAAAATTTTATTTTATAATGATAGTTAACTGTATCATTATTTATTTAAGGTATTTTATATGTAATTAATAATATGGTATTGACATATTTGAATCGATTTTAAAACCACTTCAAATATATTAAGTGCTTAATGTTTTACAAATGATTGATGTTGTGAAGTTTTCTACTAGCTTTGAATAATAAAGACGGTTTCCTACTTTCTTCGATCAATTCACTCAAACAACAAAATCAAAGTGAACGAAAAAAAATGTAAAGTAACAGCCTATACATGTCCCACTGCTGGGAGGTCTTTACCTCCTCCGTATAACATTTTAATCTGTGAATATTTTAAAAGACGCTCATTTATAATTTGGTTTAAGAAAAGGCCTTATTTCGATTACGTATTTGAACATATTAAGTGCGAGCCGGACTCGAAGGGTTCCGTACCGTTTCGTCTATAAACACGTTAAAAATCATGCCTGATGTATGGGAGTCCCACTAAAATATGTGTATTTTTATGTTTTAGTATTTTTTTATAATGTAGTAAAGTAACAGCCTATACATGTCCCACTGCTGCGAAAAGACCTCCTCTGTATAGAGGGTATCAGGGCATTGTGCACCGTGCGGCCCCTTACTGCGGATTGGCGGACTTCACATATTTTTGAAGTTATTATTCTTTTGGCGCGTTAGGGAAAAATGATGAGAGTAAATTTTACGATGCGTGCACACCGTCACGAAAAACCGACACCCTGAAGTTAGCTAGACATCTACGTATGTTTACGTGAGAATTGACATCTGTATTCACGATATTTATTTTGTGATATTAATAACGTTTATTTAACTAGATAATGCGTTATAATAAAACTTTCAATGTATTAGATACCGTTTTTCTATTGTTAGTGTCGTTTTTTCTACAAACGTAGAATAAGGCGAAAGATAAAATTTTTGAAAAGATTTTTATCTTGTTACGCCAAAGAAGTTTAACTTCTAACGCGTATACATAAGTACACACACACTTTTTTATCATATTTCGAAAATATGCAGGTTTCCTCACGATGTTTTCCTTCACCGCTGAGCACGTGATAAATTGGCACTTCAAATTAACAATTCATTGGTGCCGGCACCGGGGATCGAAGTCAGGTTACTCGAGTATATAGAACTGAAGGCAAGCGCTCGGACACTGAGCTATCACGGCTCACAAAAATGAAACATGTTTAATTTGCGTTGGCTAGTCTCAAGAGTAATTTCTGCCTGTGATATATTTTAGGTATAACAATTCTTCAGATAAATAAATAGATAAATAGAATAGTAGTAGTAGTTCATCAGATAGATAAATTTTAACGTGCCCAAGCTATATATAAAATATAAAAAAAAATATACATAAAATATTGAAGATGTTTCTTAACCTTCAATCTACAAATATCTTGGGTGTTATTATTACTATTTGTGTATTGTGTTCTATGTACCTCCGTGAGATCAATAATTAACTCCTTTGTTTTATTAATGTTAACGGCTTTTGTGGAGTTCATTGCCTTTTAGGTCATGAACTGTCTTTCCTACTCGCAGTGATATCCGTATAAAATGGAGGAATGGACTATTCAAGCCGGAAACAATCTTCTCTTCATTTTAATCTGAACTTCACTATAGCATCCGAGCATATTTCGGCATAAAATGCCCATTCTATTTTTGTATTTTGTTTACAGTAAAGATCCATTGTAGTCTTTCTTTCCTTAGAAAACATTGCTCTCTTAGGTATTGTAAGGATGTTTTACATACATAAATTTCATCTGTGGGTCATGCAAATGCTGTCTCGTGTGTAAATCGAACCCATGACCTCATCATAAATTGCCATAAATTACCAGAAAGAGTGAATTTAGTATTGCTTACGGAGTAATACTATAAAATGAAGGCTGAAGAAATTTCTCTAAATGAATTTATACCGTCCATATTAACGATATACTTGATTGGGCGCATGTTGCACATTGGGCACGTCTCCATATATGTAGGGCTTTTTCAAGATGCGAAATAAGTGTGGAGCAACAATTCACGATGAATGGAAATTCATAATCTCTACCTACCCATCGGGGTGGCAGGCATAAGTGTGTATACAGGGTGATTTTATAGACGACGGAAATATTAACAGAGCAAAATGCAGAATTTGCTAAAATCTGAATCTGGTACGTACTTGTGAGAAATAAAATATTTTTTTTCGAATTATGGAATGCTCAGTTAACATTATGTCAAAGTATGTACAACTTCGTCTAAAAAAAATCACCCTGATATTTGTATCTATATATCTGTTCACTCACCTGACTATATCCATAGGCACTTAGGAACCCGATCATTATGGTGCTCTTGTCGCTCCAGTTCCCGTTCACATGCGAACAGACCTTCGCGCCACCGCAATCACCACGCGCCACCTCGGACAGGCTCACACCGTTCGACTCGATGCTTTCTATGGAGACGTTATCTTCAATCAGGTTCGCGGTAACGCTCGAATGTATGTTGTTGAGATAGATCGACTTCAGACTGTTCGTTTCGAAAACAGGTCCGTCGTCCGTGTGATCGATGACGCACTTTCCGGGATTCAACGGTCCCCTGTCTTTCGTCGACTCAACTGATGTATTTGATTGCCTATCTTTCGTCACGTCATCTGAGGTGTCCATCTGCTCGTCTTTTGTCGCGTCATTTAGCATATCCAGATGTGTTACGTTCGTTCCGAAATCGATATTACTAGTAAGGGAATCATCACTGACACTGGTGTAGTTTCCGTCTTCCACCTCAGAATCGTACTTGATTTCATTCAGAATGAATTTCACTGATACGCTGTGTATTAATAGCGCAAAGATGTAGGCAAACGCTTTTATGGAAGCCATATCTTCATCTATAACATGTTAGTTGACTTCATTCCGCGGATACGCCTGAAACAATAATACTTGTATTAAATAGAATATTCGCGTAAAAGCAAAGCATTAAATTGCTCATTATTTAGAGCCTTAGAAAAAATTTTTTTAAGTTATAAATTACTGACGGAGTTCACGGAGAACCTTAATATCTTTACTCTTAAAATAATGAAATATAATAGTAAAACTAAAAATAAATTATATATAATAATAAAAATAATTATGGATTAAGCGAAACCATTTAACCATTTAACTTTTTATTTAAATAAATAATTGAGGATAAATTAAAAATGTTAACCTTTAAATAACAGTGTCTACAATTGTGTATGTTCATTTTGAAGAATTAATTCTTCAAAATACTACTACTAATTCATGTAGATAGCAAGTAATACTCTTATATCAAATTTAAATACGTATCAAGTCGTGCGAAAACACCGTCGATAGCGAATTTTAACCTCGCAATGCTGCTAATATAATGGTACGATTCTAGGCAAACCAAAATCTGCAAATTGCTTTGTACTGATGTTACCTGATGCTGTACAAGCAATTTTTTCCCTTTAAATTAGCTTAGACTTTTACAAGCGGTTCGTATGTGCCTTTGAACAAAACAAAGTCTCGAATAACACTTAGTACTGTGTATAGGAACAACAACTCACATCCTTGGTGTGGTACCTTACGAACCTATATACATAATCTTTGATGTACAATTTGACGATTCATAAGAGCGCGCAAGCGTCTATTTGAATAAATATATTTTTGATTTTGATTTTGATTTTGATCCTGAAATGAATCAGTGTTAATTAAAAATAAATACGCTTTATATCACGTAACTTTGCCCAGTATCTATAAATTAGTTAGAAGGTTGCAGTGCAGTTAGTAGTGAGTGGCACATGGAGGTGTTGCAGCCATTTAGGGATTGAATGGTACACGTTGAATAAGCAAGGCTACAGGCATTTACTTATGACAACAAGCAGACCCACGTGGCTTCTGTTAATATTTATTTTTCAATTAAGGGTATCCATTAACCACCCAATCCATCTTGCAGCCCCGATCACGTCAGACTTTTTTTTCCGTTTTTCTAACCTTCATACTCGTAATAAGGACACAAGTTAAAAACCTGCCAAGTGCGAGTCGGACTCGCACACGAAGGATTCCGTAGCATAATCTATAAAAACAGCAAGAAATCACGTCTGTTGTATGGGAGCCCCACTTTTATTGTTTTTTTATTTGTTGTTATAGCGGCAACAGAAATACATCATCTGCTAAAATTTCAACTGTCTAACTATCACGGCTCAAGAGACACAGCCTGGTGACAGAGGGCCAGGCAGACAGCGGAGTCTTAGTAATAGGGTCCCATTTTACCCTTCGGGTGCGAAACCCTAAAAATAGATTTCCGATGAGACCGAACACGAATTAAAGCAATTAATATTTTCCCCTAGTTAATAAATATGTACAGATTGGAGAGTAGCAATATCCATTAAAATAAACCGGGTATTGAATTATTTTCTGTTTTAATTACAGCTTCCAAAACATGTATGCAAAACGTGAACAAGTTTTATAATATAGAATAAATTACGAAACTTTATTGAAATTCAAATTGAAATAAGCATGGTTTTATTACAAAACTATTTTTTTTATTAATTCACCACTGGAACTTTATAACCGATAATAAAACTGACTGAAAAAAATCACCATACCTATTTAGCGGGTAACAGACTAACAGAGCATTGAATCGAACAATTTAATTCTATTTACACGAATACCATACATTGTATTATAACTGTATGTCGGATTTATGTCACGTTTAAATAGTTTCCAAAATCCTGACGTTGCGAACACTTTACAACGTCCCAAAGTCACGTCGTTGCCTGAGATGTTTGATGTCCTAATTTCATAGTCTAACTTCAGCTTTACCAATTTTGAATATAACCTGATTCATGGAATAGGTACTAAAATGATTCAGCTATGTTGATAATAAATCAACTGAACAGGATATTAGGATATTTTTGTACCACATCTTTGATAGATCAAAACACAAGTTATAGAACATAATTTCGTATTTAAAAAGGTCTGGCAGGACAATAAATTGCAAACTTGTACGTCCATTTCGAACATCTATAACTGTTGTGCTATCTCTTTCCGTATCATACGTTCTATATCATCTGTCACATTCACTTACATATGTCATATAATGTAAAGCGGAACAATTTTTAAACGCCGCGCAGTATGAACATGCGTCATCAATATTATTAAACATTGGTTTGAATTATTGAAAACCTGACAGATGAATTTCATAAATATGTAGGTACATACATGTCACATTTAGATGTAAACAGTATGTGTGTACTAAATGTTATTCAAACCAGATTTTTACTAAAAACCGTCGTGAAATTTGAATGGAGGTTACCAATTTAAACACATGCAGTGTGATTTCTGCCGCTTACTCATACAAAGTCTCTGTACTTGAATACTCCACCTTCTCTATAACGCTCCACTTCTGTCTACCATCGCTCAGACGGCAACTAGATTGGAATGTTTGCCGTTCACAGAGTTGCCTGATCCAAGAACAAATCGATTGCCCGACCGTATGGCGCCATTGCCATTTATTGACGAATGGAATCACTCGACCCATATCAAGATTTGGAAGAAAATAAAACTCATTTGAAAGAGCTTTTAATACATTTTAAATGAATAATTTAAATAAAAGCGCCTTAGTACACAAGGGGAAGGAATTATATTAACTATTAAGTATACTAGGCAAGGGAAAGAATTGTAGACAATTTAATCCTAAATATGACGTTTACTCTATAAATATATTAACAGAATGAAAACGGGGTGGATTTTTAAATTAAAGTGGGTCAGCATCATGCCATATAATTCTTTATTATTTTTGGAAAATAATGATTTTTTTATCAACATTGGAGAGTTCACTTTAAAAAATGATGCTTTCATTTTTTAAAGTGAACTAAATTACTCCTTATTACATCAGCTATCTGCCCGTGAAAGTCCCGTCAAAATCGGGTCAGCCGTTTCAGAGACCAGCCGGAATAAACAGACAGACAGACAGAGAGACAGATTTATTTTATTTAAAATTTTGGTATATGTACCGTTTATACATCCATATCGATTTAGTAAACAGCAGTTATTTGAATCTTACAAACAGACACTCCAATTTTATTTATCTGTATAGATGTATAAATATGTAGTAATAGTCCAATCTATTATTTTCAAGACTTGTTGACGCATTTATTGGGTTATAGTAAGATGACCGCCCCTAATAACTTTTGTCTTTCGAAGGCCACGCAACAGCTAACAGCTGTAACTGTTACACAAACGGGCAGGCTCATTATATCATCATTAAAGTAACATGGCACCAACCAGCGTAGTGAAAATTAGTTATGAAATATTTTCACTAACTTCAAGGAACCAGAATAATTTAAAAATCTTTAGAAATATAATGATTTCATGCTTTAACAGTGGTAGGGCCACGCGACAGTCTTCGCTGTTGCACGAATGGGCAGGTCCGTCCGGGTAAGTAACACGACCTCACAGGAGACCGGCGCAAAGTAGAAGTGTTACACTTCTGCGTTTCGTCTGTTGAGTGAGGTAGCCGGGGCCCACTTTATTTAAAGGTGGCAACGCATTTGCAACCCTAAGGGTGTTGCAAATGTCCATGGGCGGCGGTTACAACTTAACATCAGGTGAACCGCCAGTTCGTTTGCCACTTTCAAACATAAAACAAAAAATGCTCTAAGGACAAATCTCCTTATTGTATCCTAAATACAGTTAGTTGTCAGAAGTACCTTAGACTGTATATCTGTTATTAATCTGAGATATATTTACTAGCATGTTTTAGAAAATTAATTCAACTGTTGGTAATAAATAAATAAAATAGTAAAAATAACATTTACGCGATTTACTAAGCTACTTTGTTCATGGCTATATATTCTTGGAGTTACCGTGACGCAGCCGTGATCAAGCTATCTTCAAGTTAAAGTACACACAGCCGTGCTTACCAACTTAATATAAATAACGACGTATTTAAACGTATTATGAAGGCAAAAGAGAAGGGTATGGATATGAGGAGAGGAAGCAGAGCTTCTAAAATCTGATACGCAATTAAAAGTAGCAATAACTTGTAAATAAAATAATTTGTCACATGTCTTAACAAAGTCGTTTAGACAAAATACTTGAGCAACCTGCGGTCAAAACTTGGTACACCAATCCTAACTTATCATGCACTCAAAACGGTGGAGAAAGCATTGTGAGGAAGCCTACATATTTTCTAAATATCAATAAACAAGGTATGTGAAGTCTAACAATCTTAATAGAGAAATAAAGCTTTATCGAACGCAGAACCGGTGGGCTAGCCAGAACCCAAAGGTTGGAGACCCGCCTCAGTGGGTCGCGCATGTACTCAGGCCATCGAGGTTCGGTGTGGACCGTGACCCCGATGGCCGTTGACTGTGCTTGGTTAGTCGGTGGTTGAGGGCGGTGAGTACCGCCCTGGAACGCGGCTGTATCTAGTGTACGCGTTGTGTTGGTTTCGCCGTGCTCGAAGGCGAGGACGAACAATGGTGTTTGTTGATGTACTGAGTGAGTAGTGTTATTTGGCGGGACTCCCGACCATGGATCCAATGTACTTTAGTCCAATTCCTCGACCGGGTCGATGAGGGAGTTGTGCGGACGACGCTTAACGCTCGCGTTAGTGTCGGGTTGGTAATTCGCTGCGCTAACCAACAGATGGTTGGGATGATGTTCGGCTCTGTCGAAGAACCATTTGGTGAGATCCTTAAAATGTTCGCGAATCGTCGGGAGTCTGCAGACACTGTGCAAGTCGACGTTGCGTTGATACCACTGCGCACCCGTTGCGCGGCAGATGAACTTATTTTGTACTAATTTGCAACTTGTACAAGCATGTAGTGTTTGTGTGGGCAAAGGCTATGCACGCGTAGGCAATAATAGGTCTTACG